TTAGCTACCGTGGGAAAATCTTTGTTTCAGAGAGCGCGCGGGATCTGTGACGAGCAACACCTGGCCGGAGAACTGCAACATGTCAAGCAAGTTCTGCGTGACAACAAGCTGCAAGTGCCGCGCCTGCGTCACAGTGACCGAGTAAAACCAGCCACAGTCGAGCGCGTCCCTGCAGTCTTGCCATACATGAAAGGAGTCACTGACAAGATTGGCTATATTCTAAAGCGAGCTTCAATTAAAACTTACTTCAAGCCGCCAAAGAAAATTAGTCAGTTCTTACCACCTGTCAAGTGCCACATCCCTCTACAAGATGCAGGAGTTTACAAGCTTGATTGTGATTGTGGGCTCTCTTACATTGGACAAACAAAGCGATCCATTAGAACCCGGGTCAAAGAACACATAGCTGATGTGAAGCACCGTCGCAATACAACATCTGCTGTCTGCAAACATAGCCAAGACCGCCCAAGCCATTATATTCGTGTCGATAGACCTCAAATCCTGGCGAAAGAAAACCGATATCGCCCTAGAATGATTCGAGAAGCCATAGAAATTAAAAAACGGCTGCAGTTTAGAATAGGGGACATTACCCCTGGCGGAGTGGGTCGTATTTCTGGATAGGGCACGTGATAGGAAGTCGAAATGTTAAATAAATTTTTTTCCGAAAACGTACGAGTAAAAAGTTATTGAGACTTAAAGTTACAACATTTCCATACATTATTTTGACATTACTACCATTTAGACACTTGGAAATGTCAAAACGTCACTCAATTATCAAAATGATCTCCAGATGATTGTCTTTATTTGTACTTGCGTGAAATTCGAATTTTCTAGTTTTCTAGTCATTTATGGCATTTGGCGTTGTGGCAACTGTTCTAACCTAACCTAACCAAGATATGAGGAATAATAAATAAATAATCTTAAATGTTCTAACCTAACCTAACCCAGATATGAGGAATAATAAATAAATAATCTTAAATGTTCTAACCTAACCTAACCCAGATATGACGAATAATAAATAAATAATGTATTTATGAAGTGAATATAATATTTTTCTTTTTATTTATTTATTAATATTACCAACAGAAAAAGCAAAAATAATCGAATATAATCTGTTGTCATTTAAGCGGTAATATAAAACTAAGTGTCAGTTTTGCTTTTGTCAAAATGTAAGATCATTTTGTTTGTGTTGTGAAATTATTAAAATATTAAATATAATAAAGCATTAATTGTTGTGAAAATGTGTAATGTACATAAAAAAGGATGCGTACTATTCGTTAAAGGTATGTTTATCTGTTGTAATCACTTATTTAGGTAAAGAAATGTATGGAAATGTGTTAGATATGTTATAACTTTAAGTCTCAATAACTTTTTACTCGTACGTTTCCTCCAAATATTTTTAATATATTTTGACTCTCTGTCACCTCCCCTATCTAAAAATACCACTCACTCCGAATGGTGGAAAGAAATATATGAAAATGTATGGAAATGTTGTAACTTTAAGTCTCAATAACTTTTTACTCGTACGTTTTCGGAAAAAATTTTATGTAACATTTCGACGCCCTATCACATCCCCTATCCAGAAATACCACCCACTCCACCAGGGGCAATGTCCCCTATTCTAAACTTGTGCCTAAAAAACATCCAAATTTCAATAGGGAAGATGGCTGGGTACTACCATCGTCATGGGATCCTGTTATTAATATAATAAAATCAAATAATAAATATAAACATAACAGACAGGCAGACATGTAGTAAGTTCATACTGTGTAGATCAAAATGACAGCTTATCAGATTGATATTTTTCATTTTTCATTTGTAAAAGTATATATTAATAGTGTTGCTTAGTAAGTTGTTTTTAAATAATAGCAAACTAAATTAAAATTATAATCCTTAATTAATTTTAATTTTTTAAATTACACATTGAACAATTATATGGCTTAAATAATTAATACTATATTTTATATTTTTCTTTATGGTTATAAATATAATAATGGCAACACTAAATATAGATTACTAATTAATATTTTTAAAATTGTAATAATTATAAAAATAATAGCAAAAATTAAATAAACAATTTTCCATATTCAATTATAATTAAAATTATAAAATGTTTAAAGTTAAAATATTGTAATGTAATTGGTGCAATTTTCATTTTGTTGATTGTGGGTAGGCTGTCTGTAACAACTATATCTTTAAGACATGTAACACCTCAGTCTCTCCCGTGACCATGGATGCTGTAAAGCATTCGAAACGTCGGGAACCAAAAATCAAAATAAATCCGCGAAATAATCCGAAAAGATAGTTTTATTTAATAATGTCAAACATTCGCGTAAATCTAAGAAAGTATTATGTGACCGATTCTTATTAAATTTTGTGTGTATATTCAGTAGGTCTGTGAATAGGACATAAACTATTTTTCATACCCCTAAGTGATAAGGGTGATCCAACCCGATTTTATTTTTATTTTTTGGACACTTTTTTATTTAATTTTTTTTATAATTCGGCATTAAAAATACATACATACTTAAATTTTCATATATTTTACAACTAATTTATAGTTTTTCATTTAGCGCTAACTGGAGTTTCAAAGTATTTTTGTGCGTTTTTAGCATATTTTCAAAAATAAATGTGGGTTAGGTTAGGCCATTTTTGTATTTTAATATTTTATTACAATTTTTTTGAGACACATGTGAAAGTTAGGCCAAATCGTATGTAACTTTTCTCCCGCTGTTATTATGATTCTAAATTTTATTCACGATACATTAATGCATATGATCGCGTTTCATTCAGGCTAAGGTATGATGATGATGATGATGTTCTCCTAGCCGATTCCGGCCACGGCGGCCAATCTCAATGAGATTAGCCAACTGCGCAGGAGATATTATAGTGCTCAAGTGTACGCGCAGACACAAGTGCACTCTCTATTCCTATCACTCTCATACTCCGGTGGGACGACCACTCGACACGACCGGTGAGAGTTAAGGCGCAGGACCGACGGCTTTACGTGCTCTCCGAGGCACGGGGGTGAAACACCGCCAACTTCCCAACTCCGGGCTGTTACTGAGACTTACTATACAGGAAAACTCAATAACTAAACTTGGCCCGACCCGGGACTCGAACCCAGGACCTCCGGGTGTGCAGCCGTACATGCTAGCCACTACACCACCGAGGCTAAGGTATATAGGAGTAATGGCAATGGTGAGTAAGTTAGGCTACTTCTGCATTTCCAAAAAATTGAAAATAATTAAAATGCAAAAACAAACGTTATTGCAGTATTTTTTATTTAAAATTAAAAGTGCACAAGTGCACTGCTAGGTCTTTTTCAAATTAAACTTTAGCGTATCTAAAATACTTTGTAATATTTAAGTTAAAAAACCAAAAATGTGTATTTTGCTGTTCTTGCGCTGTGGCCTGAACTATCCTTACCGAAATTCATACAAGTTTTAAGTAAAGTGAGTAAACGTACCTAAAACGATTTTCATTAAATAGATATTAGATATCTATTAAATGTTTAGTTTTTTTAATACATGATTATTTATAGTAGGGGAGCCTCTGTAGTTACTCGAGCGCGGCAGATTAACATAAAAGAGGTTACCTTGCAGAGTGAAAAGAGGCAAAAATCGACTATAAAGTTTATGATGATTTTTGTCTCTTAGGCTTGTGCAAATCGGCAGATTATTAAATTGGACACTTTTCAGGATGTGACTAGCCTACCACACCTTAATCTGACGGTTTCAAGTATTTTTACCTTATCAAAACATTTTTTAAATATTTTAATCGGCTTCCCTAGACGCGCCCCTTTATATAGAAGACTTATATTATGGTGAAAGTACTCAATAGAGTGCAAGGTAACCTCTTTTATGTTAATCTGCCGCGCTCGAGTAACTACAGAAAAATCCCCTCTTGGGCTCCCCTACTATTATTTACTACTATAATTCTTCAATGTATAGTAGGTATTTCCATTTAGAAAAGACCAGACTAATCGGCAAATGATTTTATTTAAAAAGAAAAGTAAATTTTTAGGGTAATACTTTTTAGATTTACGCGAATATTTGACATTTTTAAATAAAACTATCTTTTCGGATTATTTCGCGGATTTATTTAGATGATTAGTTTTTTTTTAAATTACACATAGAACAATTATACGGCTTAAATAATTAATACTATATTTTATATTTTTCTTTATGGTTATAAATATAATAATAGCAACACTAAATATAGATTACTAATTAATATTTTTTAAAATTGTAATAATTATAAGAATAATAGCAAAAATTAAATAAATAATATTCTATATTCAATTATAATTAAAATTATAAAAATGTTTAAAGTTAAAACATATTGTATACATTACAATTGGTGCAATTTTTATTTTGTTAATTGTGGGTAGGCTGTCTGTAACAACTATACCTTCAAGACACGTAACACCTCAGTCTATCCCGTGACCATGGATGCTGTAAAGCATTCGAAACGTCGGGAACCAATAATCAATATAAATCTGCGAAATAATCCGAAAAGATAGTTTTAGGGTAATTTTATAATAAATTTTAGTAAATAAAATTATTTAATTTAGCTACCCTGCTCAGTTTTGATCAACCAACCAAACGTGCCATAAACAGTAAGAAAATGAAAGCTGGCTGGCTAAAGTATTGGTGCGAAAGTCTCTCATATTGCTCATTTAACTACATTATCTATGACAGTATTGACAAATGACAATATTATGAATCTGTATTTTGTTAAACTCAAAATGGAATCAAAATGTCAAATTTTATGTTTGCCGTTCTAATTGCGAAAATACATAAATAAGTAATACTTTTACACTTTATTCGCAATTTAATAAAAGTTGTAATATATCTATTTATAAAAAATATAGTTAAAATATAGAACTTTTCATTTATATTTTTACTTTCACTACATACCGCCAACTCCGTAGGGCAATCTGTCAACGTATCTCGCTATTTGTTAATCATTATCTTTGATAAACACACAACAAACTCACAATGAACGGGGAGAAGAGAAATACTCGTGGGCGAGGCCGCGGTCGTGGGCGTGGAAGGGGTCGAGGTAGAGGTCGCGGTAGAGGGAAGAAAGTTCCTAAAGTGATGTCGTCTGATGAGGAGGAATGTTCTGTGGAAGAAACAACTCAGGATCAAGAAGATTCCGTGCCTGAAGATACTAAAGAGGAACCAGAACAGGCTGAACCTCCTAAATGTATGTTGATATTCAACATTAAGTTTTACATTTGAATGTTAAATATTTCAATGGTTATAATAACGCTTATAAGCTTCTAAATAGCTTGCTTAGGTTATTTATCATCTGTATAGATGATTGTATACACTTTATTAACATTTGTATAAATGTTTCAGTGGAAGTGCCTTCAGATATTTCACAATTGGAAGCTCCAGTTTTCACAACTTTGCAAAGGGGCCCTCCAGAACCAATGCTAAGACTAGACTGGAGTCACCGCGCTACCCTTATTGGAGAAAAAGTCTTAAATCCTATGATTTACTGCTGTGATATTTGCTCAAAACCTATACTTATTTATGGTAGAATGGTAATGTCATCTTTGTTATTGAAATTTGTTAAAAGTGCTAAACATAATGTTCTAATTACTTTGTATATAAATTAAATAATGTTATTTAATACTTTATTCTACTATAATTTGTGTACATTTTTTAGATTCCATGTAAACATGTCTTCTGCTTATCCTGTGCTAGAGCTGATCATACACATTGTCCTAGATGTAGAGAAAAGGTACAATATTATATGAGTGAATTACATATTCAATTTTTTTAATCATTATTATCATATACTAATAATTATTTTCAATTTTCAGGTTTTACGAGTAGAACAGACTGGTCTTGGTACAGTATTTATGTGCACTCATTCTGGAACTAGATATGGAAATACAGGATGTAGGAGAACATATTTGTCACAGGTACTATTTATATATTAATTTTTTATACTAAAATCAATCTGTAAATCTCTATATAAATTTAATATGTGCTTTATTTATTTTTTGAAACAGAAGTATTATAGTGCCTATCTTTTATTGTACCTCAATCAGTAATTGATCAGCCTTCAGCAAGAGACAGAACATTATAATTATTTTTTATGTACAATAATAACTTAAATAAATTAAATATATCAATTCTAGAGGGATCTACAAGCACATATCAACCACAGACATGTGTCATCGGGTGCTACTGAAAAACAAGAGTCGGAGCCAACAACAGCCTCTGTAGCTATTGTTAAACCTTTATCAGTAAGTTTAATTTTCTGCCCATAAAATACTTATTGAGTATTAATATATCTTAATAATAATCAGACTTTGTAATAGTTATAAACGCTAAAGTTTTTTTGGGTTTGTGTATGATTGTGTGTTACTCTAGTGATCTATGCTACTGAAATTTGATACATAGACTATAAACTACAGTGACTGATATAAGCTAATTTTAGACAATTACTTACTGCCTCAACAGTATAGTGTGTAGCATGTACAGCCTCAGATCTGTAGGTCCTGAATTCGAGCATTGGGTTAGGCTTAGTTTAGTTACTAGTAGTTAGTGAGTCAATTACTTTTTATTAACAGACCAGAGTGGGAGATATTTCAACTCGTGCTTTTTAGAGCATGTTGTATCAGTCTCGCACCAAATTTCTCACATGAGTGCAGAACTGTGATCTCACTGGGATAGGAGAGTGACAGGAATTGAAAGTGTACTTGATTTCGCATACAAGATTTTTAATCAAGAATAGCCACTATGACTGAAATCTGTTTGGACATTATTATTACATTTACTATTTATTTATAACTAGTATATTAATTTACATAACCAATTCTTCCAGGTATCATCCAGCAGCAACGACCCACGGTCCCACTCCCTAGCACATGCCAGCGCAGAGAGGCCACGCGGAGCTCGCACCAACCTCATCACTGTGCCCATACATGATCAGTCTGACTCGCACAACTATTATAATTATTATCAGGTTTGTCTATGTTATGCTGAGTTAATTGTTACTTTTTAAGTAAAATACAGAGTTCAAAATTACTTCAATAGATGTTATTCCACTCTCTTTAAATTTAAATGACAGTCAGTAATTACAAGAGAAATATTATTTCGACTCTCCCTTTGATATACATTTAGAATTGTAGATTTTTAATTGAAGCTATGTTTTATAAATTTATTATATATAATATTATTTAGCTTTAATTTGAAATGTATCATGTACTCATAGATGACACTAGAATACTAAGACAATGTCATTTGTCAGTCCGTCTCAGGCCTAAACTAGCTACTGTATTTTTTATATTTATCTTCGTAAATTAGTCTATTAATATTAACATGGTCAGATTAATATTAATAAAGTAACATGACTAATAATACTCACACTTACAGATATTTATTATTAATTTTTGTTTTATTTAAATTACTTATTATGATGTTAAATCTAATACAAAATTTAAAACTACTATTCAACAATTACGAAACATAAATGTAATGTGTAAGTGACTGTGCTCAGCAGACACCGCAGCCGGTGCCGCCGCCGAGCATGCCGGGCGCGCCCGTGGTGCTCGGCCACGCGCTGGGCGTGCCGCCGCCCTACTACCCCGCCGCGCCCTACTCCACGCCCGCATACGCGCCGCCACCCGGTAACCTACCCAGTACCATATTGTTATGTACAGAATTAGATATGGTATTGTCTGGTCTAAAAGTACCCTATTCAACGAGGCAACTCAATGATATACACTAGTGTTGCCCTAATACGCGCCGCCGCCAGGCAGCGTTAGGCATTTCTATACAACAGTAGGGTACTGTTGTATAGAAATGCCACACTCGCACGAGCCTTCAATGAGATACATTGCTGTTATATATAGATGTTGTTTGTCCCTAAGTTAATTCCCCATATAAACTTTCATCCCCATTTTCACCCTCTTAAGGGATGACTTCCGGAATATAAAATATCCTATGTCCTTCCCAGGGTCTCAAAGTATCTTCTTACCAAATTTCATTTAAATAGGTCCAGTAGTTTTTAAGTTTATTTGTTACAAACATGCGAAAATACCAATCTTTCCTCGTTATAATATTAGTGTAGATTAACAATTCATTGAATAAGAAGTATTATTACTTTCTCCTCTGCATTTCATTTGAACTTTCTCAAGTCTTATCACACTTTTATAATAATCTTTTTCACAGAAGTGTGTTCCCTTAAAGTTATACTCTAAATATTTTACAGGTGCACCAATGACCACAAATGTAGCTGGTGTCTCACCGATGCCATCAGTGCCAATGGCCTCAGTAAACCCACTGCCAGAAACAACAAGATGGCCGGACGGCTACCAAACCAATGTACCTGTCCAACAGTGGCCGAGCTCACATCACTACTACAGATAGTACCCACGGAAATGGAAAAACTATAAATGATACAAGTGATCATATGCAGTGAAAAACAATGTTAAATTGACGCCTTTAAGTGTTAAATTTATACTTATCTTTTTATAGTGTATAGTTAATAAGACAAACTTTAAAGAAAAAATATGTAATAATGACCTAAATATAATTAAATAGACTAAGTACTATTTAAAAAAGATTATTATTTACTACTTAATATATACAAGTGAAAGAAAAAACAAATCTATCCCACAGGAACTGTACATGTTTTCGGGAAAAAAGTAGCCTATGTGCTATTCCAGACTATCTCTGTGCTAAACTTCATCCAGATATGTTCAGCCATTCTGGTGTTCTGGAACAAACATCCATCCAAACATCTAAATTTTCACATTTATAATATTAATAAGATACTGCCATATTATCTAAATTCAAAACAATTCCAAGTTTTCAAAATTCATAAAATTCTGAGATTTCTTATATAATATTTATATTTAAAATGAAATGATTATAATAATATGTTTGTTTGGCCTTCTTCACGTCAAAACCAGAGTGACGTTCTGGACTGTTGATATAAGAAATTATATCGTAAAATTAATAAATTTTCCTCTCACTCAAGCATGGGATGGAATTATGATTTTCCATACAACTCAAAACAATGATAAAAATATCAACATTAATATTATAAGGATTTAAATAAAACATGCAAACTTATGACGGGATATTATTTATTAACACTAACCAATATGTATTAATTAATAATTATTTACATTCGCCGCAGTGGCCTCCATAACAAATGCATCATAAAGTCCCCTTCACACTAACTGTTAACATATAAAAACATATTTTTAATTAAAATTACAATGAATGAAAAATATAAATACTTTAAAACAGTATAGGAATCTTTGATAGCGAGACTCATTCATTCAAGTTTTACAAATACATATATTGTATACTTTGGTTTCACTCAATTTCCATACAATCTAGCATTTTCATACAAACATTTTTTTTTTTTAGAAATTCTACATCACCTTTACATCGAGTTTTAAGTTTATCAAGTGCTTATATTATTTAGGTATTCTAATAAAATTACTAAGTAGCCTAAACTAGCCTCCACTTACGTTATTGCGTTAAGCACTCGCTGGCAGATTTTTGAGTTATATATTACAAAATCTCATAAATGTCATTTACTGTAATAATACTTATAAATGTGATGTGCAAAAATCTTCAGCAAAGAGCATCGTTTTGAAGGAAACTTGGGCTAAATAAATGACAAAAGCGGACTTATCTATTGAAGTGGACTATTGCAAAGACAATGTCATTTTAGCACGCTTTTATTAGATTCACTTGTAGTAACTATAATATAATCAAATCTTAGTGGTCGATTTCAACTTACTTCTAACTAAGTATCCATTTGAGACTATGTAAGTACGTGAAAATCGGAACACAGTACAATAATTTCACAGACTCCTTTCATTATTTTTAAGGAGTTCCTTATATAGATTCTATTACATTGTGGTTAAAAGTGAATTTTTTATTTAACTACTAGCAGACCCGACCACACATTGCTGTGGCATATCTTTAATTTTTTTTCATTAGTTTGGGGATAGAATTTTTACCTCAAGGTAGCCGTTAAAAAAATCGGAATAAAAATTATTCTGTTTTAAGTTGGAACAAATCACACATTTGAAAAAATACGATAAGATCATTCACGGGAATTTTATATATTAAAATAATGACACAAGATGTTTACCAATCAATATATACATACATATTTCCATCCTGTCTGAACTTTTGTATAGCTTTGACATAATCTAATAAACCAACCATACTCAATAGAAACATAAATGACGCCTAAATCCTAATAGAAATACAAATTGTAAAATTAATTTCCAACTTTTATTTACCATGCTTATAATAGAACCCACAACCTATCTATAAAGCAAGTATGCTGCCATTGCAGTGTCATTGACATTCTCATGGATCTGTGTAAAATACACTATCAGACAAATAACAATGATATTCTCATCACTTTCTCCATAAAACTGTTTCTACTCCCAACTCCCACATATGCATTACCGTCCATAAAGATAAATAAAATTAAACTGTCTGTTCGTAATGTCAATATAACAGCTTTTTACAAAATACATATGAAATTTTATACGGTGCTTAAAAAAACACAAGTTTTAAAATGTCTGTTTGTCCGTTTGTTGATGCTAATCTTCGAAACGGCTAGACTGATTTTGACAGGACTTTCACTAGCAGATAGCTGATGTTTTATGGAGTAATTTAGGCTACTTTTATTTTAGAAAAAGAGTAAGTGTTCCGCTCAAATAATATATAACACACCTAGGGACGCACCCGAGCGAAGCGAGGGTAAGTCAATAGTCTGACTAATTAACTATATTATTAAGTAAATATTTGTTAAAAATCACATTATTGTTAAAAAAATAATATAAATTATTTAAATAACATATATAGCATAATATTTTAAAATTATTAAAAATTATGTACAATTTAGTTGCAGTGGCAACGCACTTGCTTCATGTCATATTTAATTCTTGCATTAACTTAAATTAGAAAAGCATAACAATTATTGTTGAACAGCACTGTTTTAAATTAACACTGGGATACATATTCTTTTGTAAGCTATCTAAATAAGATATATGAGCAAGTAATGAAAAAACTTTTGTTACTACGTTCAAATAATCTTTTAAGTTATCATTAAATTCATAGTACCTGGGCGACGCTCGGAGTTTTTGGACGAAAATACAATTCTCTTTTTTTTTTAAATTAAAAACTTGAATAAATACAAAAAACAACAAAAGCAAAAACTTTGTATCTAACCGGGATTCGAACCAGACACCTATGATTGTCAATCTTGCGCCTTGGCCGCTTGACCACGATGCTTATGCCCGAGCGTGCGAAATTTTTGGCAATATTTTGCGTGAAATAATGCGAAAGAAAATCACATGGAAACTCGATAACACGCGTTTTCCCAGACATAAGGCTAATCTAGATCGTTTTTTCGCCCCAGAAAACCCCACATGCCAAATTTCAGCGAAATCGTTAGTGCCGTTTCCGAGATCGTCGGTATAAATAAATAAATTAATATACAAAAATTGCTCGTTTAAAGGTGCCCCATCAAAAACATAAATGTGAAAATGGGAGCCAAATCAATATTAAGAATACACAAAAGAATTGAGATCTAAACAGATGCCAAGTTCTGTAGATTGTCCTGAAATTTTGTCATAAGAACATACAACATTCTAAAATAAATTTAGAACATAATTTCTCGTTTTTTCTGCTATTGTGGGCTATTTAAAAATAGAACTTCTTAAATTTGAACAGTCGAATTATTTACAAAGAGTTGATAACTTAGGATACATTGAAGTTCCAGATTTGCCTTGGCTAGTTTTTACCAGTAAAGCAAGTTTTTAGAAGAGATATGTTGACCTTACAATATAAAAACAGTAAATTGCATATATTCAAATCACTAATAGGCAAATCACTAATGTGATTAGCCGAATATACGATATCTTGTATGTAACTTCAATTTATCCTAAGTTATCTACTCTGTGTAAATAATTCGACTGTTCAAATTTAAGAAGTTCTATTTTTAAATAGCAATCAATTTTTAGCAGAAAAAACAAGAAATCGTGTTTTAAATTTATTTTAGAATGTTATATGTTCTTATGAAAAACTTTTAGGATTATCTTGGCACTTGGCACCCATTTAGGTCTCAATTCTTTTGTCGGTGAAGTTGACAACCACGCATAATCTTAATATTGAACTTGGCTCCCATTTTCACAAAACGTCGCCAAAACAATAGATTTTTAGTGTTATTCCACATTCACACAATTGAACCAATACTTGCCTTTACCAAAGTTCAAAGTAATTTCGACGATATTACTCTTAATTTTCAACATAAATTTTAATAACAGCCAAAAATGCAAACACACATCACAAACATTTCACATTCTATCAAACTTTGTAGAATAGAAGAATTTAAAGAGAGTTCTTTTTTTGCATTTTTTGCATTTAAATATAAATTAAGAATTTTAAATAAGTTCTTCCTTGCTAGTTAGTATAAAAAAATAAAGATAAATGTTTTTGTTGTCATTAACACTTATTTAAATGGCAGTAATCTAAGACTCCTATACTGATTAATTAACAATTAACTACAATCACGATGTTTTTGTAGTGGGGGGTGCCGGCTCAGTGCTTATGTCGATTAAAGTCGCTTCAGCCGGGGCAGGGGTTTGAATCTCTGCCTCTGTAGGAAACTGGGGTATGACATGCGATGACTGTATCTTCCTTACAGCCTCCATGTTAACTTTAGCCGATAGATTCTTTTGACGAGTCTGTTCTGATGTCTTGGATAATCTCTCACTTAATGCCTTTAGAGCAATTTGACTGTAAATTAATTAAAAATGAACTTCATTAATATTTATAACATTGTTAACAGTTAAGTTCACAAAAGTTTACAATAAAGACACTCTTAAATATACAAATATAATAAAACCAATAAGAACACTGAAATATCAGTTATTTTAAGAAATGCAGCAATACTCATTGCAGACATGAAAGTATAATGATATAATAATATGATCTCACCGTCTCCTCTCCATATCCTGTGGCTCAACCCCTGGCATAGAAATGGTGACTCCTCGTGGACTTAATGCAAGATGAACGCGCCGAGGACTTGGAGAGCACACACCTATACGCACACAACATCTATGTACAGGCCCTATGATACCTCGCACAACTGGCTGCAAAACTGTTGGGAAGAAACTAAAAAAAGAAATATCTTGTCATACATTGTCTAAATGTAATTAATAAATAATTTTACAACATTATTTAGAGCAATTCAATCTTCACAAAAAGAGTTATCTATGAACAAAGTAAACTGCAGTATTAATAACATTGTAAATTGTTTCAATTCAGTAACATTTATAATTTCGCTAAGAGATAAAAATTTATCTGGTCATTTTAAATCAGACTATCTATTTATATCAATCTTTTTGTTGCATGAAGGCTATTTGTATTGCATCCCTACAGTTACATTTTACACACTTAATACTGTATAAATCATTAGTCTTATCTAAATCAGGTATTAACATCGTGTTGAGAATTATATGACAATTGTAGAAATTGAATTTTATGCTTTTATTTTTGGTGAAACAATAAACACTATAATAAATAAATAATAAGTTATTTAGCATGAAATTATTATTCTCTACTCACTTATCAAAGCTAAAATTATCTGCCATATCTCCTCTAGAACCACTGCTATGGCGCTGCCAAAATCTTAGATATATCCATGAAAGTAGGGTCCCGCTGCCCCACATACAAGGATATGTACCTTCTAACTCACCCACAGCCCATAAAATTATCGCTGCTATGAGTATTAGTAATGGCAAAGATCGGTTGGTTAGTTTACCTACAAATTATAAAAAAAATAATTAATATTTTTGTCATTATTACATTTCTAATAAACAGAGTCACTTATTGTTATTGTAACAAATAAAAAATTACTTCTTATTTAGAGTGGAAACAACAACAAAACTAAGACAAAGAACAACTATAAAAATTTAATTCAATACTTATGAACAGTTACATATAATATAGTACAACTAGTTGTGCTAGTATAATTTTCAAAGTCATATCAATTTATGTTACAGATAAAGATTTACCTGATTATCATAGTTTCAAGGAAAATTATTTACAATTCTTATTAATAATATAACATGCATTGTATACTTTGCCAAAGTGTATGTTTATGTAATTGTTTTATTACTTTTTCAGGTAGATTCAACTAATTATAATGAATGTTAAAAAGATTTTATTATTGATAAATACAAGGACTCTTTTGTAGAATGTATGTAGTATGTTTATAGTCGATACAATCGTAAAGAATATATTAACCATACCTAATGGAGTTTTTATTAATAGGTGATCCGGCATTATCTGCTTCACAGCCACACAAACAGCTGCTATATAACCAGCTAGACCATGTACGTATATATCAAATAAGAGTGAAGTATCTTGAGTCCATGCGTATATTAGCAAATAGTAGAATGTTGTCAAAAATGCTACCCCAATGTTGGTAAGAAAAAAAAATTTCATCATTTCCATTTGCCCCCATAGGGGCTCTATTAATTTTCCACATAATCCAACCGTCACTATGTCAATAATCACCTCCCACAAATGTATCTCGAGAAACCAGAATGTGAAAATAGACCACAATTGAAAAGAAGGTGGCAACAAATATCCTGGTGTAACACTGAGAATGTCCACGGCATCTTCAGAAAATGACAAAATATAGCCTATAATCACAACAACACATATAAACTTGACAGACGGCGATGTGTTTCCTAGTAAAGCTGAAAATTGTTGTCGTAAATACGGTATATTACGACTAAACACTCTGAGCGCAGCCATTTTTATGACGGATGTCACAGGTGACTAAATCGTCAATGTCAACTGACAATTATTGTCATAAAACGATATAATCTGTTTAGTCTGTTGGCTCTCAACATTATCTAAATAACTCTAAATGAGTCTTTATGATCTCGGAACTCCAGAACAGGGTTTTTCACAGCCCGAGCGAGATTACTAAAAAGATTGTTACATCGATTTATTTAAGCGCTCTACACTTCTCTGTTTTTTTATAAATTTTGTGTGTCAATTCTCATTGAAGTTTCACTCTTTTGGGTCCATCGATTTGGTAATCCAAACTAAAAAGTGCAAAGAAAAGAAAAGTAAAAGGTACACCGAACTATTTAATAAGGGTTACATACTCTATGCACCGAACTTAAATGGAGGCGATTAATAAACCTACCCTACCCCAGCCTGCAAATTTATGATATTCGCAATGAAAAAAATACTAATCGATAGATTTTTAATAGCTCAATTCAACTACGTAGCCCTTCCAAATTGCTCACCATTAATTATAAAATTAAAAATCAATAAAGTCCTTGAAAAAAAATTCATTTATCCGTATATTCAAATTTCTATATCTTTTGATATATACAATATTTTAAATTGCTCAAAGTTCTAAAATACTGCTCAAGTTGCATTTGTAATTGCTCAAGTAGAGTTCTCACCAGCTCCACTTTCCTTAATTATTAAATAAATATAAATAGTTTGAATAAATTTAACGTATAGATAGGTGAGTGCTACTTATAGTTATTGACTAGGCAGATTTATATATATTTTAGCTATATTTATTCTAGCATTTTTTAGTTTTAGTCAAAAAGTGAAAAATATCCAGCAAACATAATGAGCATGTATACTACTACTTATTTTGTTTTGGAGCAAAGTAGAATATATAGAAAATACTTTGTAAACAGACATAAAGTTACAAAATAAAGTTACCTTTTAGTCATGATTTGATTTTTGTATAAATTGAACATAATGAATAAGTCAATAAATAATAAAAATACCTGATAATAGATGATGTTGTGCTTGGAGTATTACAGTTTCATTTCACTATGATGAGGTTGTGAAACACTTGATTTTTTTGCCTTGCGACTCGCGTTACTGTTTGCGCGCATGCGCAGCACTCACCTATCTATACGTTAAATTTATTCAAACTATTTATATTTATTTAATAATTAAGGAAAGTGGAGCTGGTGAGAACTCTACTTGAGCAATTACAAATGCAACTTGAGCAGTATTTTAGAACATTGAGCAATTTAAAATATTGTATATATCAAAAGATATAGAAATTTGAATATACGGATAAATGAATTTTTTTTCAAGGACTTTATTGATTTTTAATTTTATAATTAATGGTGAGCAATTTGGAAGGGCTACGTAGTTGAATTGAGCTATTAAAAATCTATCGATTAGTATTTTTTTCATTGCGAATATCATAAATTTGCAGGCTGGGGTAGGGTAGGTGATTAATAAGTAGACTTTGGAGTTTGGCATTTCTCTGGGTAGTGGGTGTCTAAACGAGAATATACTGCTGTCAAAGTCAAACTTCTATATACAAAAATCAAAATTCGCTTGTCGCTTCTTTTAAATGATATGTTATTTTACAGATTGATAGGAAGCGCTTTAGTGGTTCGTTGAAAACTATTATAATATTATAAAATATGATTTCAGGCTTTAAGTTCCCTTTTTAATATTATTTTTTTAGTTAAGAATAGCTAACCTTTATAGCAGAGGTGTGATGGCATATAGTGAAACTCAATGCGACAATAAGATAGGCAAGAAGATGAACTATTTAACACAGAAGAATGCTATAGCATTAGATCAGGATCTTTTTAATGAATATAAATTCAGCGTAGACCAGTTAATGGAACTAGCTGGATTAAGTGTAGCAACAGCTGTTGCAAAAGTTTATCCACATTCATCGTAAGTTTTGATATGAAAGTCTTGCTTTTATATACTAAGGAAATACAGGTATAACCTTCAAACTAATGAATAAAATGAAATAATATGTACAAAATTTGCTTTAGATACAAATCTGCTTTAATTATATGTGGACCTGGTAACAATGGGGGAGATGGCCTTGTAGCAGCTCGTCATATGATTTTATTTGGTTACAAAGTAGCTGTATATTATCCTAAGCGCACTCCTAATCCGTTGTATGAAAACCTGCTTTTGCAGTGTGAAAAATTTGGTGTAAACATTATTGATCAATTACCTCCTCCAGAAAACTTGAAAAATGAATATAATATTCTTGTAGATGCTCTTTTTGGCTTTAGCTTCAAACCACCAGTTAGAGAAGCATTAAAGCCTGCATTAGATGCCTTAATAACTTCAGGGCTACCTGTATGCAGGTAAGAACTGATGAAGAGAATGATGTTCTGATGTGTATAACAACTGCTATTATTATTAATTATATTTGTTTACATAATATACTATTGATTATCTTTTCAGTGTTGATATTCCTAGTGGTTGGAATGTGGAAGATGGTCCAGAATCAGAAAATTCACTTAAACCAGACTTACTTATTTCCTTATCTGCTCCTAAATTATGTGCTAAACCTGAAATATTAAAGAATGCTAAGCACTTTCTTGGTGGAAGATTCTTGCCTCCTGGAATCATTGATAAATACAATTTAACTTTGCCACAATATCCAGATCAAGATCAAGTGGCAGAATTATAGCTTATGTGACTTTAATTATTATGAATGTTAAAAGAGAAATATAAATGAAACTATATGTGATATTTATTGTGATAAAAATACTAACTCCTACAATTTTCTTTTATAGTGCTGTCATTTAAGCAAAAATAAGGGATCAATCTCGGAATGAGAGATAATAAGCTGTAAACTCATATACAGCTTCATTTTGATTTTCTAAAAGTTGTCTTAAAAGTCTCTTAAAGTCCTATGTCTGCGTCGTAAGTTGTTCTATGTCAAAGGTGACAAAAATCAGTTTTTCACGATTATCTTGGTTTCTTTAGCTCTAATGATATTAACATTTATAATAAAAATTGTAGAACATAAAATTTGCCTCAAATTTTGTCATTTTTGCATAGCCCCAACCGTTTTTTACTTAGAGGGCAGAGAGATTGCAGTGCTCAGTAATACTCAGTTTTGGTTAGGACACAACAAAAAATATCATTAAAATCGTCTCTGCAGTTTAGGAGATGATCAGTGGAACAACGACTGCAGCGCCACCTACCGGGTTCAATTGTGAATGTGTTCTAAAACCATCCAGGAGCCCATTGAATTATACACATAAAATTTCATCCAAATCAGTCTAACACTAGGAGTAGGTTAATAAACACATGTACAAAAGAATTATATATATTAAGATATATAAAATGTATGCTCTATAGACTATAATATTTTTTTGGAAACAAACTGTTCGTCATACCTAATACAACTAAAAACAAAACAAAAAAATTTAAAATAACACAACCAATGAAGTTTCCTGTTTCTTCAATTAAATAATTCTTCGAGTAGGTAATGCACATAAACTAATAAGTGCAAATTAAAACATACATATGCGTTACAATAATAAAAAAAAAAACATTTAAATAAAAATATACCATATGTTGGTTTATTTTAAAATTGACTTAATTATTCAAAAAATTATAGATAATTATTACAATAAATAAATAATATTGTAGAAAAATTTTGCCTTCATGTCCCGCCAGATGTCGCGATCATTATAGCCCTCGGTATATTGTAAAGCTCTAAAAATAATTGATGCAATCGTGGCATAAAGCTGCTAGTGCAATAAACGAGATTTTAAAGAGATATCTGGGCTTAAATACGTGGATTATCCATGCAATCCGATGCGAGTGTGGACATACGTCACACGGCGCTATGCAAATCAAGCCCACTTAGCCCTCGGGCACACAGGAGATTCAAAAAGGAAATTCAATGGATGACCTGTCTCGTGTGTGCTAGACTTACAATTTTGACATTTAACTTTTTCGCGCTATTTTTTTCCCGCTTTTACCGGCTTGTCTTATGTCTGTCACTTTTCGAAGAGGTCAGCGACGTAACGCTTGCAATTAATACAAATCATCCGTTATTTTTTGATTAAATATATCAAATAAACAGTTCTGTGAGTGATACTTTTAAATATTTTTGTTTATTTGTATTTCCTTATCGACAAATCCATAAATTAGTCTTTTCTACGTACTTTTCTCTATTGTTCATGTACCGGTTGAAAAAGCGTGAAAGAACAATATTTATAGATCTAGCTGAATAAGGTTTACTTGATTAATGTAGCCGATGATCAAAATTATTACTAAGTTTGTGTCATATAATTATTTATCTTTTAAGGTAAACATGTTCGAGGCACGCCTTCTACGTAGCTCCATCTTGAAAAAAGTACTTGAAGCCATTAAGGATCTCCTTACACAAGCAACATTTGACTGTGATGATAATGGAATACAGTTACAGGTACGTAGGTGCCTAATAATTCGATTAGATACTTATAAAATTAATATTAAATATATTAATAATAAGTACATATACTCATATAAATATCATAAAATTGTTACTGGGCTAAGCATTTTGACCATATTTATAGTCCAATTGAATTTCCATTTTTTCCATTGATGTATATTTATGATCCAGTTAAAATATCAAACAAAATTATGCAAGCCAAATCATAGTCATTGTCTAGAATTAAATGTTTGAATATATAAATTCAATAAATAAACTAAAGATTGCATACTACAAAGAAAGACGATTGTTTATCTAATGTATTTTATTTCAGGCTATGGATAATTCACATGTATCTCTTGTTTCCTTAACATTACGAGCAGATGGCTTTGATAAATATAGATGTGATAGAAATATCTCCATGGGCATGAATTTAGGAAGGTGAGAAATATTTTATATGGTTATATTATAAATTTAAGCTATTAGGTTTATTGATATTATATATGATTATGTTATTGATCAGTAAGTTAAATTTATGTGTTTTCATTTTATATCTTAAAATACTTAAGGTATATCCATTAAAATATTAATAGAACAAGTATATCAAGTAAAATATTATTATTCTGATGTAAACACTATTATTTTCGTATTATTTAACACTTTATTAATAGTTAATATTTTTGCTTACACAGTAATGATTTGGTGTGATATATGGTGATTTTAAAAAGAAATCATGGTTTAAATACATATCTTAATTTTTTTTAGTATGTCTAAAATTTTGAAATGTGCTGGTGACAAGGACACAGTGACAATGAAGGCACAAGATAATGCAGACACAGTTACATTTGTGTTTGAAAGCCCTAATCAGGAAAAAGTGTCCGATTATGAAATGAAACTCATGAATTTGGATTTAGAACATTTAGGTGAGGCATTTTAAATTATATATATATATATAATTTTTTTTTATATTAAGCGGGCCAAGAATTATGGAGGGAACTAAAGGGGACAAGATAATATATCCTGTGCAGAAGGAAGCAATTGGCTACCTTGGCCAATATCAGTTAGGATAATTTATAAAAAAAATATTTATACAGCATTGTATTTTAAATACCAGGAAGTCACATGACTGAGCAAATAAATATCCAAACTTTCATATAAATCTTAAAATATATGTTAACATTACTTTATGCTTCAAATTTCAGTAAATTTAAAACAGTAGTGCACTTATGCAATATATTTAAATTACTCTTTATAAAATAATAATCTTCATCAGGTATTCCCGAGACTGAGTACAGCTGTACCATCCGCCTGCCCAGTGCCGAGTTCGCGAGAATCTGTCGTGATTTATCACAGTTTGGAGAATCTATGGTCATTTCTTGCACCAAAGAAGGTAAACTTTTAATATTAAAAAAATATCTTCAATTCCATAACAGAAACAATATTTAAAAAATATTATTGAAGTGAAAACTTCTTTAGCCTGCTCGGAGTGCCAATGGATGTGGAAATCAGACTGATAACAATTTCAATTTACAAATTATGAAATTGTAATTATTCTTACTATAATTAATTCAAAAATTAGAAAAGACAGTTATTCCAAAGTTTGTTGTTTTCCCTACTGTCAGTCATTAAAATAGGCAGTCCCCATGACTGCCTATTTTAATTTTTAAATATTATTTTTCTAGGTGTAAAATTCTCAGCAAGTGGGGATATTGGATCTGCTAACATTAAACTAGCACAGACTGCTTCCATAGACAAGGAGGAGGAAGCAGTTGTCATAGAAATGGATGAACCTGTCACCCTTACATTTGCTTGTCAGTATCTCAACTACTTCACTAAAGCTACCTCGTTGAGTCCTCAGGTAATTTTCATACTAGTATTTAAAACATGAATTAATGTTTATATATCTTATATCAAATACAATCAAACAATCTTTTAAAATAAAATATTCATTAAATTAAAAGTTGGTAATATGCTTAATTGGCATTTATAAAACTGCTGCTTTTTATTTTACTGCCGTCATAAGAAAGAAGGCTTTAACTTCGTCACAGTTGATTTTGAGATATTTGAAATTTTGTCTTGACTACTAGGTCAAAGTTAGTACTAGTTTTGACGTAGTTATGATTAATTTTAATCTTATGGTATCTGTGGATTCATAAGACTTGGAGCTTTATGAGTAAGTCTTTAAGAGTTCTTATGACGGCAGTGTAGGTCCAAGAAAAAAATACAAATTGAAAATTAAAAAGTACAATTTTCTTTAAAAAAAATATTAAAAACTTGAATGAATACAAAAAAAAAAATTATACCTTTGTATCCGACCGGGATTCGAACCCGGACCCCTATGATTGTTAATCTTCGCGTCTTTTAAAAAAAAAACTAAAAACTTGAATGAATATTAAAAGAAAAAGTAAAAACTTTGTATGCGACCGAGATTCGAACGCGGACACCTGTGATTGTTGATCTTGCACCTTGGCCGCTTGAACACGATGGTTATACCCGAGCGTGCAAATTACCGACCAAATTTTACGTGGAATAATGCAAAAGAAAACCGCATGAAAATTCGAAAACACGCGTTTTTCTAGACATAAGACTAATCTAGATCGATTTATCGCCCCCGAAATCCCCTGTGTACTAAATTTCATGAAAATCGTTGGGGCAGTTTCCGAGATTGAGTTTATATATTTATATATATACAAGTATTGCTCGTTTAAATATATTAGATAATATAGTTTTAATAATCTTATTTTAATAACCAATCTCCTTCTTGTCTTCTCCGTTCTACGTGACATTGAAGTAGTAATCTGTACTCAACTGAGACTCTTTGAAGCATTAACAAGAAAATTGAATTGTAAAGTTGAATAATCTTATACATATATATTTAATTATTTGTAGGTGCAACTGTCAATGTCAGCTGATGTGCCGCTGGTCGTCGAATACCGCATCCCTGACATCGGCCACATTCGTTACTATTTGGCGCCCAAGATAGAAGAGGAGGATAGTTAAACTTTTTAATTTGTATGTTTCATAATCATGTTGTTAAAATATGTACAATGTGTAATAATATAAATTGTAAAACAGAGTCGCATTCAAAGCTAACTTCCTACAGTAAAAGTTATACAGATATGTGGCCATATTATAAGTGAATATATACTGAGTTGCTACCTCGAAAAGATTGCAGTAGCAAGAAAAGTGTCCTTAAACTGTAGATAAGTCTTGTAATATTCATAATAACGAGCTGGAAACATCGTGTATAATCAAATATGGTTGGTTGTGTGAGATTGAGTTACACACCATATGAATCTTCAACAAAAGTATGAAATTTTCTTATATATCAATAATATTTTAAGACTGGATCTATTAAATGTGACTTTGTGTTACAATAGCAAAAAATTGTGATAAAGTGGGAGCAACAAAATAATGTTTAATAAAACAAAATATCATATTCAAATGTTTTATTTACGATACTATCATATAGAATAGTACACTTTTAAGTCACGTCCATGTTTCACATGAGTATTGAAACAAAATAAATAAAATTCTACACAACACAAAAATATTTTAAATAAAACTATCTTTTTAGATTATTTTGGAGATTTATTTAGATTTTTGGTTTCGGACGTTTCGAATGCTTTACAGCAATCATGGTCACGGGAGAGACTAATGTTTTAGACGTCTCAAAGGCGTTAAATATACTAAAAAGATGAATGGATGTTTGTTATTAAATCACACCAGAATGGCTGACGGTATTTGGATGAAATATGGCACAGAGAAATTATAGTCTGGAATAGCACATAGACTACTTTTTATCCCGGAAAAATGTACGGTCTTGTGTTATAGATTTGTTATTGTTTCTCACTAGGGACGAACCCGAGCGACGCGAGGGTGAGCCGCTAGTAAGCAATAAATGAAATTGAAAAATATATAATCCCTACTACATAACTGTTTAATATTATAAAGGCGAAATGTGTTAGTTTATAAGTTCTCTTTTTACCTCTTTTTAGTCACACATATTATTGCATTGATTATTTTAATGCCGTACAGTAAGTGAAGTACGTATTAACTGTAGGATGTCAGCGTATTATAAAAGATCAATAGAGTCTCAAAGGCGTTATGTACTAAAAAGTAAATAACGCCTTTGAGACGTGTCTGGGATCAAAAAAATTTGCGAAAAAATCCCAAAAGACAGTTTTATTTGAAATGTCAAATATTCGCGTAAATCTAAAAAAGTATTATAACACAAAAATACTTCTAAGACATATTATGGAATGGTACTTGAGATCATTTACAATATTTGAAGGCGCATTTACTATAGACCGTACAGTACTTTTCACATTTCTAATCCTTCTGAATTTTTCACCTCGAAAATACAACGCTCCTTATAAATGTGCCTTTAAAAATACAATAGGTTTGTTAAACCAAATTGATATTTGTCATACTCAAATGGTTATAAGCCGCGCCATTAAAAAAATAATCTAAAATGGCGTCTCGCAGTTTGACATAATTCGTTGGCTCAATATTACAAGGTTCTATGTTACAATTTTAGTACTTATTTAGTTATTAATGCTACAAGGTTCTATGTGTCATTAGCTATAGTTTTGCAAAAACAAACCACTAGATAGCGGCACTATAACTACAAAACATTTAATTTTACATAGTTCTATGTTGTTGTTTTTTTTACGATAATATAATAACGAAGTTCTATGTAAAAATTACTAAACTTCATTAAAATTAACATAGAACCTTGTAATAGTGAGCCAACGAATTATGATAAGGTCAGCCAATACTCTATTAGCCATAGTGTGCAAGTGAGAGAGCATGATCGGCGCCGCCAGTTTTAGATTTGTTTATGGCGCGGTTTACACACAAAATTATGTTGACATAATAATAATTGTTGTTCACTTATAAATACTTTGAATCCTAAATCTTTACCTGAACTATTTACTAACTAATCTTAAACAAAAGTGCGCATTTTCCCAAACAAAAAAAAACATACTATTTAAAATAACAATTAAATTAAAAATTCTTTGATAAATTAATATTAAAACACTACCCATAGACTAGTAAAAATCACATGAAGACTTAATTATCTTAAACTAGTGAACTTATATTAAAGTAAGAGTTCCCGATCTATGTGTTGGCCCCTCATTAGTTTTCCAGGCGAAATATATTTTTTAAACCATAAAACATTAACAAACACGACCCAAGGGCGTTGTCACCATAAATTTGTTCCAGGATATTTTTTTATAAAAAAAACTTTAGTATGGAGATGTTTTGGTATAACAACCCTGTATTGTTAAATTTGTAATAAAATTATCTACATTTTGATACTAGGTTGGTTCTAGAAAATATGATCCAATACGAGCAATTAACTACTTCAAGTAATGTGGATTCGAAAAAGGCCGCCGACCGTATAATGGAATTTTCTACTTACATTTATAAGTCTGTTACTTTCGATTGATACTAAGTTATCACAGGAAAAGAGTCAATAGTAAAAGCAATTTTTTTATAAAAATACAGTCAGGAGGACTGCTGACAGAAGTGAAAACTTAAATTATAAACAAACAGGATTATTAGTATTTTTGGATATTCAAATTGTTTGATCTTAAATTAAAATGTGTAAATTAAAACTTTACATTTATCTGGTTTTAACATCTATCGGCACTCTGAGTGTGAGCGACACGTCACGTGACCATGTCGATGACGACTTACATGAATTTACTCTTCATCCAAATTTGCTTGAAAGTTTTCACTTCAAAAAAAAACAATTAATTTTTTTTTTATTAAAATAGCCCAGAGCAAATTTTTGTTGTCAACCCTGGGGCATGTTTTTTAATATATTTTATGGTTTAAAAAATATATTTCACATGGAAAAAGAGTGAGGGGTCCACCGCATAGATTTGGATCTTAGACTATTAGAAGATAATAGAAATTAATTAGATAATATTATGAATAAAATTAATTTTATTAAGATTACAATTTAAGGAGGGTGGGCAGATACCCGCGCCTGCTCGCTGTCTGCTTAGTGCTAACAATCTACTTCATCGAAGAGCTATAATTACATTATGAAGGATTTGAATTGACATTTTTATTTGGTAGTTGAAATTGTATATACCTTTTTTACTTACTTTCTTAGATATGAATGACTAAAAACAAATTTTGTATTTAATGTAGTTCTGAGAGTATAAAGTTAATGAACAGAAAAACCTTTTTAAGTGTACTTTCTTTAACTCGACAGAGTAAAAAATAACGGTCGTACAAAAATAAGATACTGCGATCGCTACCTTGAAGAATTAGTATAGCAATGGTAAAAAGAGACATTACTGAATTGAATTCAGCCCTTTTAACGCCCCACTGCTGGGGGTGGGCCTCCTATACGAGGGGGGTCAGGCCATAGTCCACCACTGGCCAAGTGCGGGCGGACTTCGAAAACTTGTTAGGTTCTCTCAGACATGCAGGTTTCCTCATGATGTTTTCCTTTACCATAAGGCAAGTGGTTATCATGTTAGAAATGATTCGCACATGAAAATATCAGAGGTGCGAGACCCGGGATCTGAACCCACTTCACTCGGTTTCCTGAGCGAGCGCATTACCACTGCCAATTAGTAGTATGAAAGTATATACAGTACTTAAAGATAAAATATAATTTTTGAAATTTTTGTCTGTCTCTGTTCGTTCCGGTTAATCTTCGAAAAGACTGGACTTATTTTGGCGGCACTTTCACATACTTTGGCAGATTGCTTATGTTATAAGGAATAACTTGGGCTTCTTTTTTTTTTAGAAAAGGATTTGGGTTCCGCTCAAAAAATTAAAACGTAACTAGGGACGCACCCGAGCGAAGCGAGTTTAAGTCGCTAGTATCACACTAAAACAGGTTTTTCTGACATGGCAAAATATTTTCTTGGTGGTTATTATTGTAGTATTATCTATATATTATAATACTTAAAAACATCGTCTTGATATTATCGTATGTCTGTGTATGTGTGTGTGTATGTATGTATGCAGACAGCGAGCGAGGACACGCTTACTTCCACTTCTTGGCGGAGAAGAGCACGGCGCGCTGCTTCAGGAACAGCGAGTAACTCTGCTTGCGCAGCGGGTCACTGGCGCGCACCGACACGAGCGAGCGCCGCCCGCGGCCGCGACCTGTACAATGTACATGCATTTAATACATTCTTAGATTTGCGCTATTTTATATATATATATATATATATATATATATATATATATATCTTCTTCTTCTCCTTGCCCATTTCCCAAATCACTTGGGGTCGGCGCAGTACATCTTCAGTGTACTGCTGATAGGATTCGGCAAAAGTTTTACGACCGGCCGCCTGCCTGACGTCAACCCTCCTTGGGAATGCTATTGTCTTTCTTTGTCTGAATGGTGTTAAATATTATGCACTTTCGATTTTGTTGTGTTTTAAAACATTTTTTATACTATTAATTCAATTATTAATGTTATTTTTGGATATATTTTATATTTGACATTGTTAAATTTTTTCTTCATGTTTCATGTTGTTTAAATTTTGAATATGAAATATATATATTTAATATATATATATATATATATATATATTATATATATATATATATATATATATAAAAACAAAGTCGGGTTTGTTACAATACTTATAACTCGAGGACTGTTGAATGAAACTCATGGTTTTTGAATTGTTGGATTTGTCTCTGCCCCAAATAGCAGAACAATTATTAAAACATTAAAAAAAATATATTAAAATGTATATAATATATTTATATCTATATAACGTACTTAGCCGGGACAAAATTTGTTAGTTTACACTTTTAGTTAAGGACTTCACCGCGTCCTTACCACCATGTATTATTTAAAAAAAAATGGTTAAATAACAGGAATCTGCTGCAATGATTCTGCAATGATTCGGATACAACTACAACCGAGTACCGACCTGCCCCCCCTCCTCGTCCTCAAGACTCGCGCTTGACGTCGCTGGTGCCGGGCGCGGGGGCGGAGGCCGGCGCGGGCGGCGACGGCGGCTCGTCGTCGTCGAGGCGCGCCGGGCTGATGACCTGGTCGTGCAGCGTGCGCAGGTGCCGCAGCAGATTCGACTTCACGTTGAAGCCCTTGTTGCACAGCCCGCATACGAACGGACGCTCGCCTGTATTGCACACGGACAACGGACATACTTGATTTATTCTATTGGACTTTTAAATAGAAGCACTTTTGTGTCAATTAGTCAATTAATCTATACTAATATTATTAAGAGGTAAAGTTTGTGAGTTTGTGACGTTGTAGGAGGTAATCTCTGGATCTACTGGAGCGATTTAGATGAAATTTGGTAAGAAGATAGTATGAAACCCTGGGAAGGACACAGAATACTTTTTATCCCGAAAATCATCCCTTAAGGGGGTGAAAATGGGGATGAAAGTTGTTATGGAGAATCAAGCTAAGGACGAACTCGAGCGAAACGAGAGTGAGTCGGTAGTAGTCGAATATAATAAAAGCAGTGGTAGAGCGCTCGCTTGGGAAACCGACTGAAGCCGGTTCAAATCCGGCGTTTCGCACCTCTGATATTTTCATGTGCGACTCATTTCCAACATTATTACTTAATTTATTAAATAATGAGGAAACCTGCATATCTGAGAGAACTTAGCAATTCTTTAAAACCGCTACACCCACAATTGGCCAGCGTGGCGGACTATGGCCTGATCTCCCTCACATTAAAAGAAGCCCGTGCCCAGCAGTGGGACATTAAAAAGCGCTGAATACAATACAATTCGCAATATTTGTTTGCTTAATTAAACAATTTAAATTTTTGAATTGGTATTTAATATTTATTATTAACAGTGACTTTCTGGATTTCAATAAAGCCGGTTGGAATCGGGTCATATAGACCTTTCGCCATTTGCTTATATAAAAGTGTTGTTGTTATGTTAAATCTCTACTCTTTTACTGTATGAAATGTTCGTTTGTAGAAACTTTATTGGTGTATTTACTATTATTATTGTTGTTTGTGTTGTAACACTGTATGTTTCACTAATGATAGATTAAAAAAGAAGTACTGACCTGTGTGTGTGCGCATGTGTATGAGCATGGACGCGTGCGAGGGGAAGGTCTTCTTGCAGTGGGCACAAGTCTTGTTTTGCACGCCCTCTGTGAAACGATTGTGACGTTTTGGTGGGGCACTGTTGTTTGATATGGCCAATTCTGGACAAGCGACATCGAATCAACATTCACATTAACTAATCACAACGTTTTTAATTTTTAATTAAAATAAGAAAAAAAATTAAATAAATATTATGCAAAATAAAAAAAAAACCAAAGCTCGAGTAGGTCGGAACATAACTGAAGTGATTATCATGACTGTAGCGGTGAGGAAGAAATCAAAAAATGCATTGCAATATTAAGCGGAAATAATTGACATTCAACATTAGATTTTTCGTTTGTGTTAGAAAGGACAGCGACGACGTTTGTACTTGAGACGATGTTGCGTTTGTCGAGAATTAGCCACATACATAACAATCAAATTTCAGCTATGTTAGTATACTGCAAGGTTACACGTACATTATTTTATTTATTTAGGTACAGAAACAGGAAACAAATTAAAAAAGTTACATCTACATATTAAAAACTAAAAATATCATTGTAAATTTGTTGTCCAATTATATTTGTACACAACATTCAAATAAAAACATATAATAATTATAATATAAACAAACTTAACCAGAAAGTGAATATTACAGTACGAGTCTGTGCATTTAAAGTTACATAAAAATATTAAAAAAAAAAAAAACAAAAAGAAAATAATATATTTTACATATCATGTGGAAAAAAGACAAAAAGATAAAGATAAAGGAGTTTATATATAAACATACATATAAACACTCATTTCATGGTCACTCATTGACTTGACATGAGAGTTTACTGAACATAATCTTAAGTAACAGAAATTAAGTTTTAAAATTAACAATTTAGTCATCACACTGATGTGAAACTGTGTAAATATCCTTAAAAAAATTCAAAAATTGATCAATAATCGAATGCATACTGGAATTAAAGGTACATGGTCCAAGAGCAATACCATGACCTTCACCGATCTTTTAACCAGATAAAACATATTTTTTATAAAGTTCCAATTATAAATACGCCTAAAAGCTATTTTCATCAGGTTAACAGATGGGTAGAGGTCGTGGTGTATACAGCTCTCCGGCTAACTGTATATCTTACAATGAAAAATTTCTCAATTTAGACTTTTTAATTAATATACATAGTTATTTAAACAACAGTTTCTTCATAAGAAAAAAAAACGAGATATATGCTTTATTTTTATAATAAAAACTACAGCACTTATATAAAAACAATACGTGCAGTGTACTTATGTACACGCACTAAGAAGTTATACTTCTTTGTTGTAACAGAACAAAAATAGCTAAAGATTTGATCACGTGTGTCACAACTCTCTGTTTGTAAAAGGAATGCAGCTAACTTCATCATGTCGCCTTTTGGCTGATCTTTTATTTTTACTCTCATATTTTTTTCCAAACGTGCCAAAAGAAGTATAACTTCAAAAAATATAAAACAGTTGGAAAAGTACTAGAAAAAGTCTAATAAGTTTTTGTGTATAATTAAAAAATCAAAAATAACACAATAATATTGAATTATATTTCATATTTCATTAATAATACATATATAACTAACCTGACTCAGTGTGCGTGCTCTGTATGTGGCGGACCCACTCCGCGGGATTGGGGAAGTGCTTTTGGCAAAGATCACATCTCAACAGGGCCATTGTCTCTTCTGTGTCATCGCTCTGTTAATTTACAACAGTTCAATGCAACTTGTATAATTTTCTCAAATCATAAAACAAAAATTAAGGATTGCAGTCTATATATGTAATTAACGGGACGGGTTAAAGACAATTTTGAGTCTACGTAAGCGTGTAGAGAATTATCTGAATGGATATTTAAAATTGAGATAGACGTTTTCAAATAACTTTTTTGTTGCCGAGTTATTTGCTTTTAAATTTGTAAACTTGTCTACAAGGATTTTTAAAAAGTATGATTGACCTTCCAAAACACTTCCAACAAAATTTTTTTTAAAGAAAAATCACATCGAGGAGTGTTTGAGATATGGAATATTTTTTTTATTAAAGATTCGGTTGGAAAAATAAGTCTGTTTTGTATAGAAATATTATGGAGTATGTACTAAATTTTCGAAAAAAAGACACATGAAGTCCAATTCGCTCTTGGCTAAGAGTAATGGACTATAGCCTGAAACCCTCGTATTGAAGGGAACCTCGTGCCCAGCAGTGGGACGTTAATAAGAGGGCTGAATACATACATATTATATAGAGAGAGAGATACAGATGTGTATACATACGGCGGAGCGGTGCTTGCGGCGGCGCGGGTGGTGGTGGTCGCGCGCGTGGTGCTGCACGTGGCGCACCCACGCCGCCGGCACCGTGAACACCTCCGCGCACAGCTCGCACGCCAGCGGGCTGTACAGCTGCACACACACGTTCAGTCAGTACATTGGTTATTATGTACATTAAATGGACACAACAACTAAAAAAATATTTTTACAAGCTTTTATTGAAGTGAAACTTCTTTAGAATCGTTCTGATTTGAAACGCAATGAAACAAAAATGCGACACTAGAAAGATAAACAAGAAAGCAAACACATAAATATTAAGTACTAGCGACTCACCCTCGCTTCGCTCGGGTTCGTCCCTAGGTTGATTCCCCATACAAACTATCATCCCCATTTTCACCCCCTTAGGGGATGATTTCTAGGATAAAAGGTATCCTATGTCCTTCCCAGAGTCTCAAAGTATCTTCTTACCAAATTTCATCTAAATCGGTTCAGTAGATCCAGAGATTACTCCCTACAACGTCACAAACTCACAACTTACAAACTTTACCTATATTATATTATATATTATTATATAGTATAGATATTTATAAGTTGGTAAAAAAAACTAAACATATTACTTATAATCATAAATATTTATTACTGGGGGATGATGAATGTGCATAAATTCAATAAAAGCTAAGATGACTAATTGTTGCCATGGTAACCGTTGTTATTGTCTGACAAATATATAATATTACATATTCTTTTCATACATGATATTCTATAAATATATAATTGTAATATACCTAATATGCCTTGTTTAATTACTGATTTAATTGCGATATTTGTCAAAGAAGTTTTATTTCAACAGCGCGTAAGGTTTACACGCACCCATTTTTTTTATCTGGAGATGCTTAGTTGGAAGCAACTTCTCAACGGTCAAAAGTACAGACACAAAATTTTATATGCACATTCAACTATTATAATTCATTCTAAAACCTATCATGGCTTGACTGTTGAGACTAGGATTGAGTTCTAATGAGACATCTCATCGGTGAACAACAACAATTTTTTTCTTCTTTTTAGTGCATTAAAATAAAAGTTTGATTGCCAATTCTTCTCAGGTCTCAGACTTCTTCTTACGGAACTGGTAGTAGACTCATGACGTTCAGTAAAAAATTGTAATAATTTAATGCTGAATAAAATATTTTGAATTTGAATTATAAAAGAAACTATTAATTTATTGTATTGATTTTTACTGATGATGAATCTACTTAATTAAGTAGGATTTTAATTAGACTTTTTACTATATTTAATTGTATTGTCAAAGCATGCTCCTGCATGTTTACCTCATACTCTATTATATATATAATATCCATAAAGCCCATAAGTCAATTTTGAATAAGTTTTTAAACAATATTTTTCGAATGTAATAAATCATAAATATTAGCCTTTTGAAAACAGTGGAGATGGTTTGTACAATATATAAACGGTACAAAACTTTTTTATAAAATTTTTAACTTTTTTTAAAAGTTCACATTTTATGAAAACATTCTTGCTTATTCATCTATACATATAATAAAATTGTAACTAAGCCGAATCTGCACATTAGATATTTTTTGGAAAGTCTTATTGAAATAAACATGATTATCGATACAGAGGCCGAATCTATAGTTTTTAGATTTTTTGTCTGTCTATCTGTTACTGCATCACAGAAAAACCGGTTATCCGGGTCAACATATAGAATACTTTTTACCACGGGAAAATATCTCATTTTTGAAAAAACATATAAAAACTGCATTGTAAGAGTATACTAATATGTAAGACCTAAGAATTTGGTTTTTGGTCATGTGAACGTGGGCGGAACCGCGGGCAATGCTAGTATAACATAAATCATAATATATTAAAATGTCTATATTATTTTCTAAACTATTATTTTCAAATATAATAAACCTAACAAAATAACAGAAATTTACCAGACTCTCCTCTTCAATCTCCATCTCATCTACTGGCTCGGACTTGACACTCATCTCCGCTTGGAACATCTCTGCAATAGACCGCTCCTCTTCTTCGATACTACTCGCATCCCATTCCGGCTCGTCTTTTATGTGCATCTCGGTGTTTATCTCTGTCGTGCTATGTGATGATTTTTCTGATAAGCAACAATAAACAAATATTTTGTAGACTTCAGTTGATACATCAAATCACAGATTTGAAAGAGGAAGTATTTTTAAATAATAATAATTATTAATAAATAAATAACAATATTAATTAATAAATAAGTGTGCGTGGGTGCGCGCAGGCGGCGCAATGGTGAGCATACGCAGCACTAAAACCGTTATGTTACCGTACTAAAACGACTACGGGTATGATACTGTTGATACGTTCTAGTAGTCCGTGCCATGCTCGTTTCCATGCCTGATACATTCATAGCAAGGTCATGGTATGAGAAGGTTTAGTGGGCAGACACCGTACTATTTTATATACGAGCTTTTTATAGATGTGATAAAGATAAAAAAAAAACCAAAACTATGTACTCACTAGAACTAACTGATGCATTATCAGTTTCATCCGCTTCTTTAGACTCTTCACTTTCCATAGGATCAGCCTTTTGTCTCTTCCCATACTTTCGCTCTGCAGCATGCCTTCTTAAAATACGGGGGGGAGGAGTGTCATCAGAATCTTCTATAGAAGATATAGTCACCGTAGATGATGGGGTTGGTGTTGTTATTGTAGCAGTTGTATCTGTGGTGGGAGCAGGAGCTACCAAAATAGTTTGGCCTTTGACTGGAGCTCCAGGACGTAAGGCTTGGGTGCCACCTTCAGATGTCTTGATGAAAACAAGCTTTGGTGGACCGATGAACATTGGCCTGTAAATTTTTTATTTGTTTAATTATTCCAATTTAGTTCCGATTTTCTTTTATTTAGTTACAATAAAATGTTCCTTTCCATTAAAAAGCAGATAGCACAAAACAGCCTATAAAATAAAAAATAAATTTTGCAACGTCTAAAAAGTTATAAATTATTTGCAATGTTAATTCAAGATGTTCTCTAAGTAACTAGTTATATCACCTTGTGACTCCTTGTTGTTGAACAGGAGTAAAGGTTTTAAGAAGTTTGTCATCTTTCTTAACAGTAATCTTAGGCTGCTCTTCAGGTTTTTTTGCTGGCTTAGGTGCACTAGTTGCAGTGGTGCTGGTCTTTTCAGCAGGTATGGAATCTCCCCCTGCTTCATCAGTTTGCCTCCATAAGCCTCTAATTTTCAGAACTTCGCCAGCCTTTAAAACTGTATCTAAGACCTCATTGGAGACAGTTGTTTCTCCTAAAAAGAAAAATATTTTTTTAATGTTAAAAAAAATAGACAATTATTTTTCTTTTATATTGCTAGCACAGTATAAATCTAATTTATATAAAAAACATAATAGGTAAATATAATATTTTATTATTTGTTTGTGATTCAAAGAGCATCAAGTGAAAGCTGTTTTGGATTGAATTTATTTTTAATGATCCTAAAACAGTAAGTTATTCTTTTCTGAACAACATTAATATAGTTGGTATTTTTTGAATTAGTTAATAATTAATAAAATCTTGGCTTTCACTCATTAATAAAACTTACCTTTGTACATATACTCTACCAATATCTTCAGTGCTTTGGTAGATATTTCCGAAGGCAAAACTACATATAACATTCCTCCCATTCGGGTCACCGATCGCTGGCCTTCGAATAAACTGCTTAAATATACACTGCATGAACTTAGAATAAACTTGTGAGCCGGGATTTGAGACCCGTCCATTGTACATAAAACTACATCTGTAAATCTCTCTGACCGTAGCAAAGCCGCTACAGAACCGTTTAAATGCGAACTGTGTGAATGCCATTTTAACTGATAAGTGTCTGTCGAAGTCATTTTATATCATTTTTAATTTCACTTTCACTGAAACAACATTTAAACATTTTAAAAACGCATTGTTTACAATAGAAGCAACTGCCAAAACATTTTTTTACTATTAGCCGAGAACTCACTTTAGTCTCGCAAGACGCATATGAAAAGACTTCATAATCGTGTGGAACCAAATTATGTATTAAAAAGCTCTTAAAAAGTAAATTATGTAATATTATACACTGAAAATAAATATATCACTACTAAAATAGAAGAAATTAATCCATTTACATATGTACCCTGCAGTAACAAAAAATTAAACACACTAACAACCACGAGATACCATAGTAGGGGAAAGTCGTTTAGCAAAAATTCGTAACAAATTAAAATCTTGAGGAAAGTATTTAGAATATCAGCCAGTAATTAATTTAAAGTTATTATATAAAATTACTTCTAATAAAAAAAAAATAATACAGTAAAAAATAATAAAAAACAGACTTTCGAAATTTACCTTTTTAAATTATAAACGTTAATTTGCAACTACGACTACTATAATGGCAAAGCATTATCACTAAATGCAGCACCATCAATCACTTAGTAACACGTTTGAAAATAATATAATACGCGCAACCACCGCGTGCGATCCTCGAATCCGGTGTGCGGCGGCTGCGGCTCCGAAAATCGATAGACTTCGTATTGATTTAACGCGAAAAGCGGGGTTGTTTTATCTCATCGATCCACAGGGCACGGCCGGCGTCGCATCGAGCGTCGGTGCGCGCGCGTGCGCGGCGACCGGCGCCCGCCCTGCCGCCTGCAGTGCCCTACCACCCTGTTCACGCGCAAACTATTACATATTATCTATTGTTATATACCGAACGGACCTACAAACTAGGGAGTAGGGAGACAATTTTGTCATCGAGATATATAATAGTCTTTTAGAACGTCTATTAAAGTATACTATTTTTTTTTAATTTACATGAGTTGCTGTTTATGAGAATAATTATAAATCATGAAAGCTGTTTAGATATAATATTATCTAACTATAGAAGAGATTTATTAAAATTTAACTACATACAACACATATGATTTACAAGAAAAAGTTATTTTTTTCAATTTAATATTATTTAATATAAACTATTTAGAATAAAGGCTTTGTTTTATTTTTTTATTTTTTATTATAAATACAGCTTTCATATCAATTAAACTGAATATTTACTGTTTTTTTGGCAACGGAAGAACGAACTCCGTATTTAACTTATAGTTGGGACATACCTGTAAGTTGTAACTGGGATGTGACTGTAATATTTTTAATCAAAGCTAAAGATTTCATCCCTTACCTATGTCATAGGTAAGTACTCTCTGTTTGTAAAAGGAATGCAGCTTTTTGGCTGTCGGTGTGTAAAAATTAGTTATTATTCTTTAAACTAATTAGTATTGTAAAAATTTTACTCTCAAATTTTTTTCCAAACGAGCCAAAAGAACTATTACTTCAATAATCAATTAATAAGATACTTTTGCTTCTGACTGTACAATACTCCAACGCGGTTCTATATCTAATTCCACCTGTTTTCTATATATTATGGCATTAATTAGTATTTAGCTACTCAGTAATTTTAAATTTATGATAAAAAAAAATTAACGTATAGTAGAATAAGATAGGCACCTACGGTACTGGGTACATAATATATGAATTATTTTAATTCATAGAATATTAAATTAAGGTGATTATCAGTTAACTTATGAACAATAATTATTATTTCGTATATTCATTATACATGCATAAAATTATATTATACGAGTACATCTGAGTACTTCGAGCGAGAAATCGTTCCTGCGATCTCAAGCTTCGAAAGCTGTTTAAAGACAGTTACTGAGTCTGCAGGTCACGCCGACAAAAAATATTATTGAATAAATAAATGACGATAACACTGAATGTTATGTCCATGCATAGCAGGGCAGGGAAGAGAAATATCTAGTTTTTATAAGAGGTTTCTTATGATGTAAATTGGTTAACTCATAATTGTGAATACAAATACTTAATAAGTGCTCTAATCGTGATTTATTGTAAAATTTTATACTTAATAATAAATAAGTATTTAATACGAGTAGTAAGATAAATAAGAACATAATTAGTGTAGTACGAAAATCTTAAACCCAGACGGAATCTCTCTCAGAGAGTGAGCGAGTCGGACTCACACTTGACCAATTCTATTTTATAAAAAAACTACCTATTTTATTTAACAAAATAGTTTGTATTTATGAGTTTTATTGTTCTAATTTAATGATATAAATTTAAAAAGATTGATTACTATTGTAAAAATATTTAATTATATTTTATTTAAAAAATCGTAATTGTTCCATTCGTAAATTATCTGTACTGTATGTTAATTATTGAACTATTAAAATTATAGCTATGCCAAGTCACCCTCGCGGGGTGGGTGTCGCGGATCGCGTGCGCAGACGGTATTGATTTTACGACCCCGGTACCCAACAAGCCCACGCATTTCATCCCCCCATATACATACCTAGCTGCAATTGATCTATGAATAGAGTATCTAAAACAACTTATAATATTTCATTCGACTATATTCACACTGCTTCTTAAAAACATACCAACAATTATTTTAGACAAATGATTTCAGAGTTCAAACATAGATGTTATTGTTATTTGTAAATAAGGGAATTTGAAAAATAAATAATACATTTTTTTTACGATTAGCTTATTCTTTTTCTAAAATAAAATGAGTCTAAGTTACTTCTTTCTGTCAGTGAAAGTCCCGTAAAAACCAGTCCAGCTGTTTCGGAGATTATCGGAACAAACAGACATAATTAAATTTTACTACAGTGTTTTTCTTATAAGTACCTACGGTATATTATTTCAAATGCATTTAGTAAAAATCTGTTATTTTGAGATTACAAAAAGCTACACTTCAATTTTATTTTGATTTAAATTATTTAAATCTTTTTTAATCCATCTATTCGATATCTTCTTGCCAATGCAACATAAACATCGCTCTTTTAATAAGTATAGATAAAGTATAGTAAATAAGTCCTACGACATTAAAGAGCTGACTTATTTATCCTAAATTCGATTAAAATAGAAATATCAAGTATCGACTATAAAAAATACATGAGCTTTTATTATTGCATTCCAAGTGTAAATAATAATTTTTCGAATTAGGATTTGTCGGATTTTAGGTTTAGCGCAACAATTCTCGATCTTGAGCTCAATCCCGAAAGAAAGCAGTCGCATGGCTTGTACAATGTTATATGTATTTATATTATATACCTTTTAGTTTTCATATACATTTTTCTGAAATATGAAGATTCATTTATAAATACAGATATATGTTTTTGGCTATTTTATTTATATTTCCCTAATTTTATAATTCAATTAGAAATTAACTATTGTCTCTACTGTATTCTATTTATAGATGGCGTTGTTTACATTTTCAGAGTGTTTTTATCGCGGTTTTAAACCATGGGAACCGAAAATTGATTTCTTTTCATATTCTACTACATTTACACGTTATTATTATTTATAAATCTCCATTAATATTATAAAGAGGTAATGTTTATAAGTTTGTAGGCATCTTTAGATGAACTGATCTCTATTGATCCGTTTTCTGACAGAAATATCATTATATTAACTTGAGTTTGAAGTTAGACAAAATATGCAATTATTGAAGACGTGCCTTAGTAGCCCGAGAGCATGTGACGAAGTATATAATATTTGGAAAAAAAATATCCAAAAAAATATATTTTTGGCAACTTGATTTTTGTTTAATCATTTAATTTAGTTTTCATATCATTCAAAAAAAAGAACCCCAGACTGGACTCGCCAATTCACGAAATTATATTTTTTCACAATTTCAACTTGCCAAAAGGACCTTCCCAAAATTTGTCGCCAGCTCTCGGAATATAGATATAATGTATACTCTAAAGAGGCGTGCGCTGTCTGATGGATTGAAATAAAGCAATAATGGCAGAGAGACATCTAGGGATGCACCGGAGCGAAGCGAGGGTAAGTCTCTAATATAAATAAAAATAGTTTTACGTTTGTCCACTCGGCAATTTGGTGGCACATGCGCCATCTAACGTCTATTTATGTCACATGAAATGGTTCAATACAGAGGTTCAATTTCCTTGTATATGAAAGTATTCTGCATTACATAGGAATTAAAATAAATGGACACAAATTTCATTACAAGCTTTTATTTATAAAAAACAAACCATCAAATGATTAGTAAATTCATTGAGATGGTTAGTTTTTTGGTGCAAGTATTCAATAAATAAGAATACATTTGACAGTTTGACAAATCTCAGTCTTATTTGTCATCCATGGTCTCTGTGGTCTCTGTCGGTCTTTGCGTTTTGTTTCTGCGATGTGTTTGTTCATTGTTGGCATTGATAAAAAATAAGATATAAACTGTTTGTTCTAATTTAAAATTTAATATTAATGTATATTTAGACAGCATAATGAATTCGCAAAATAAAACGTGTTCACTATCAGCTGATCTGAATAATTTTATTTATGGAGTATCTAGGCGAAATTTTCAAAATGCACCTGATTTAACAAAAATTGGAATTTCTCTACTAAAGAACTTTCCAGCTGCAAGAGATGCTGTTTTAGAATACTTTGCTATGGTATTTCATGATGCTGTTAACATATCACTCAATCAGGGTGACTATGAGGTTTGTTTATAAACTAGTATTCCAATAAAACTAAACTTTTAGTTAATTAATCAAATATTATAAGTACTATATGCTTATAATATATTTTTATTTTAGTCCGATTCGTCAGCACATGGTTCATTAGAAAGTGTCAGTATGATTGGTCCAGAGCTGAGCAACTTAGGCGAATCGTGGGCACCATTTATTGCTCCATGGTGCATCAAGTTGATCATGGACATAGCTACAGAAAAAGCTAATTTACCAAGTAAGAGTTTATTTTTTAATAGGTATTATTTTAGACCAGATTTATTTCATTAATATTAATATTATTATTTGCAGATACAACATTGCAAAACACTGATCCTGTAAGGGTTTTATTAGACATAACAACTCAAAACCTTACATTGTTAAATGCTGAGGAAAGAGCTAAATGTATTGATATGATGCTGGGTGAGTCAATATATTTTTTTAAATAACATATGCACATCAGTAAAAAAAGATTTAAATTTGTGAAGTGTTTCAAATTTCTATTAGAATATATTGTACCTATATATATTATCTAGGCTGAATTAAATTAAATAGAGAAATAAAACAATGTTAGATTTCTAAATAACATTTAATGCTTATATGATTTATATTTTCTACAGGATAAAATTTTATATATATGTATGTGATTTTGTAATTTATAGGTTGCCGAGCATGTTCATGGGCAGTAGGGTGGGTGGGGCGTGCTGAGCCTGCTCTTGTAGCACCCAGAGCACTAGCTTTAGGTGCAGATGCAGCAAGAGCAGTACTAGCCCACTTGGCAAACCATCCACCTGCATTGTTTCATGTTAGAGCCGCTCTTGTTGACTTGTTTCAAGTAAGTATAATAAATTCAAATATGTTTTACTTTTTAATTTCAAAGCAAGGTGAAACTGTGTAGTTTGTATAATTTACTATTAATAAAAAATAAATAATTAAAGGTACTTCAATAAATGCATAATAATTTTTTGACTCTGAATTTAAGTCTTGAATAAGTCAAATAAGTTATCTTAATTTGTTATCCTTTGTAAAATTTACTGTGGTTTTTTAATGTGGTTCACCTGATTAAACTTGTTTGATTATAAACAACAGTTATATAATAATGTATTGACGTCTGCTCGATTTGTTGTTATGATCACTGCTCCGCTCCCTTGGGTAGTAGCATAATAATAAAGGTAAAGCCTATAGTCTCCCTCAATAAACGGGCTATCTAATCAAAATCTAAAAGCTATAGATTCGGCCGCTGTATCGATAATAATGTCTATTTCAATAAGATTTTCCAAAAAATATTCAATGTACAGATTCGGCTTAGTTACAATTTTGTTATATGTATAGATTATAGATTAATGTATATAATATGTAATAATAAGATTTTGTATAATTTAAAGTTATTTTATTTTAGGATGCCATAAAAGAGGATAATAAAACAGATAAAAAACGTGAAGTAATTCCATACTTATTGAATCTAGCTTCCAAATCTGACATTGTTTTGAAAGCACTCACCCAAGATATTGAACAAACATGTAAGTAAACAAACCTAAATCATTGTTTTAGAATTTTCCTCTTATTAATTTTCTGTCTAGTTTAAAAAAACGTAGTCATTTCCTATTTATTTGAAATTTAGTCTAAAAAAATAAAAAATGACTTAAAAATTAATCAATATGTAAAAAAATCCAATTATCCTATTAATATTATAAATCTTTCGCATTTATATACGCCTATTTTTGGACGGATGTTTGTTACTCTTTCACGCCAGAACGGCTAAACGGATCTGGATAAAATTGGCACAGAGATAGATTATAGTCTGTAATAGTACATAGATTACTTTTATACCGGAAAATGTATGGTTCCCGTGGGATAGATTAGTTTTTGTTTTTCACTAGGGGCAAACCCGAGCGGAGCGACCCCAGGGTGAGTTGCTAGTAGGTTATGTATTCTGAATTTATCAGTTGGAAAATTAAGTGAAACAAGTACAAACCCCTCATACTGTTAATCTCATTTTTAACATAATTACCATTGTTAATGAGGTGAAAGGCAACATCACGAAGAAATTAGGTTTAATACAACGTAATTCGTTTACAAATAACGTGTATAGCCTTTTTTTTGTCATATTTGTATTCAGCCCTTTTCCCGTCCCAACGTCCTATTGCTGGGCACGGTCCTTTTTTTAATGTGAGGGATGGGGGTTAATGGACTTCACTACGAGTATCTTCCGAAAACTAGCTAGGTTCTCTGTGCAATGCAGGTTTAGTAACTATGTTTTAATTCACTGTAAGACAAGTGGTAACCATGTTGGAAATTATTTGTATATGAAAATATCAGAGGTATCCTGTATTTGAACCCGGTTCACTCGGATTTCTAAGCAGGCTCGTTATCATTAGGCTACCACTGCCTTGTAGCATATTCATTTATTTATTATCCCCAAGTTGGGTTGAAGGTTTTGATTTTTTAATCTTAAAATTTTTTTTTAGAATTTATACTTCGTTTGGCATGTTTGAAAAAAATATGAGAGTAAAATTTTTACGATGCGCGCGCACACCGACAGCCAAAAAGCAACACGATGAAGTTAGCTGCATTACTTTTACAAACAGAGAGTAGTGTCATACGGGATAAAATCTTTAGCTATTTGTGTTCTGTTACGCTTAAAAAGTATAACTTCTTACGTGCGTACATCAGTACACACATACGTATTTTTTACATACAATTTTTAATTTTTTTCCTATATAACTTTGACTACCACAGTAACGGATGAAGTAGTGGATCGGCTGGTGGTGCTGGGGCGCGGCGCGCGCGCGTGGGAGGGCGTGGGCGCCGCCGCGTTGGTGGCGCTGCTGCTGCGCGCCGACGTGCGCTGCTTCCTGCTGCTGCTGCGGCACGCGCAGCGGCACGCCTTCTGCAGGCAGCTGCTGGGTGTGTATTCAGCCTTTTATAATGTTCCACTGCTGGGCACGGACGGCGGACCTCCATTCAATGCGAGGAATAAGCTCGTAGCCCACCACGCTGACCAAGTGCGGCTTGGCGGAGTTCACATGTCTTTCGAAAACTTGCTAGGATTTATCAGAAATGCAGGTTATTTGCGATGTTTTCTTTCATTGTTTCATTGTAAGACAAGTGGTAATCATGTTGGAAATTATTAGCGCATGAAAATATTAGAGGCGCGATACACGGATTTTGAACCCGTTTCATTTGGTTTCGTTATTTGTTGTGTACTGGCTATTGCAGATAATGCCGTTTGTGTTCATGTTTACGTCTTGAACAACGCCATCTATTGATAAGTTTGGAACAAAAGTGATGTTAAAATAATATTAATGTAATTTTTTTCAAATGATGACATTATTGCAATTAACCAAACTGTTTTTTTATATGCCAAATAAGAACTTTTATTCATTGATTCATCTAGTTCATTTATTTCTATGTAGTATGTTATAAAATATAAGTGCCTGGATGACCGAGCTTCGCCCGGCGTATTTCGGAAAAGATATAACAATTGCGTTTTTTTAGAAAAGATGAAATGAAGAGAATAGAAAAGATGAAAAGATGATGAAGAGAACAAAAGACCTATATCCATATAGATAAACTTAATAAGCAAAACCTTATCGAAATAAAAAATTTGATCCAACTCGCTAGAGTAGTTTCCGACATATATTTTATATAAATTAATATTATAAGATATTAATAATATAAATGATAAACTAAAATACTAACTTGATACTTACTTATTAATGTTTTTCAGAACATCTCTTACAAAAGCTGGAATACGAATGTTTATTCCCGGATTCAAACCTGCCGCTTGTGATGAGTGCCGCGGAGGAAATCAATGTAATACGAGAGAAGCTGTTGACTGGCAACCAATTGGAACAGTATTCTATTGCTAGAATACTCATTTTAGTTAGTAAGTTTACTTTATATATTACTAACTAGTGGCTCCCCCTTGCTTCGCTCGGGTTCGCCTCTAGCAAAACAAAAACAAATCTATTTCTCGGGAACCGTATATTTTTCCGAGATAAGTAGCCTATGTGTTATTCTAGACTATAATCAATCTCTGTGCCAAATTTCATCCAGATCTGTTCAGCCGTTATGGCGTGAAATAGTAACAAATATCCATACATTCACAAACTTTAAAATTTATAATGTTCGATTAATTTTTTTATTATACTGGACGACGAAAGACAGACGTTTAATTTTGTTTGTAGGCTGTCTGTAACAACTATATTAATATAATACCTTTCAAACGTCTAAATCTTAATATCTCCCGTGACCATGATTGCTGTAAAGCATGTGCAACATCAGGAAGCAACAATCAAAATAAATCCGCGAAAAAATCCGAAAAGATAGTTTTATTTTTAACTAAAAAGAAGCAAATTAAAACGAATTATTAAAATTTGCAGGCTATAACCTACCATCAGAGTTTGTCTCAACAATCAGCTATCTCCTTCAATATTCCAGAAATGATACAACTTTAGCATTACTAGTGCGCATCATCTCCGGCACAATCACAATGCACACGCCAACAGATTCGGTAGATATGAACATGGATACGGAGAGATACCAAAGTTTTATCAAAACCGGCGTAGAATATGCCATAAGAGACGCAATGATAGCGGACACACAGATCAAAAGGTGTTTTATAGATGGCACTGTGGCAAAGGATCAGAAGACTTATTTGCATCATTTGTGCTTGAATATTGTAAAATTGTTAAGGTATGTACGTTCTAGATTAATAGTAGTACTATTTAAAACTATATAAATATATAAAACGAAGTCTGGTTTGTTACAACACTTATAATTCGAGAACTGCCTAACCGATTTTTATGATCTTTGTTTTGTTGGATTTGTCTTCACCCTGAATAGCAGAATAACTATTAAAACAACTGAAAAAAACACGAAAAAAAAGAACTTCCATACTAAACGTCAAAACGTATGTACGTAGGGACCTACTACTTAGGAACCTAAGTGAAGCGAGGGTGAGTCGCTAGTATATAGATAAACTAATTTAAAAAAATTATTATACTTTTTTATTAAAAAAGTGTACTTCAACTTCACTAGAAATAGAAGTAATTAATGCACATTTATTTTTTCGTATTTATTTTTAGTTTTTTCTTAACTCCGAAATTCAACTGATCTCTTAGCACATTGCCGGCCTTTTTATATAGTTACATAAATAAAGAGCATTCTAGTATTTAAATTTTGAAACTTTTCTAATAATCTTGTCCGTTAACAGTCATGTGTTGGTAACTGTCTTAGGTATATCCTAATGTTAAGTATGTTTCAGACGTGCTTTTTTAATTATTATTTTTGGTGTAATGACGTTATACACTCCATTACGCAACATAAGGTTTCTACCTAAACAATGAAGGCCATACGTGCGGTGCGTGCCCGCAGGTGGGAGGCGGCGGGGCGCAGCGCGCACCTGCGCGCGCGGCGCGTGGCGCGCGCCGTGGAGGCGAGCCTGTTCCGCGCCGGCGCCGCGCTGCAGCAGTGCGCGGCGCGGCGCCCGGCGCGCGCCGCCGCCGCCATGGCCGGCCTCGACGCCATGCCCACGTGCCACGCCATCGCTGACGTTAGTGGACTTTTATACTTACTCGCGTGGAAAATGGGTTCTAAGTTCTAATCCTAACTCTGCGTTTTAGAATGTATGTGTGCAGGCTACAAAATTCATACAGTTGGCGTCTTTGATTTTCACGGAAATGCTTCCAAATGCAATGATTGTCAAATAATACAAATTTGCATAATGAATGGTTTTGATGTTAAGATACTATAGTGCTATCTCGTAGCAAGCTAACAGTTATACTCGTTAATCCTAAAGCCGTTTTCCAACTCGTATGGAATAACGGATGGCTGTCGAGTACTACCGCCGCACACCCCGTACGATTGCCTTGTCCTGTCCAAATGATTGATGGAGTAGAAGACTGGTGACGTCAACATAATTTATACGATTAATGTCGAAATTAATTAAACTTGATAATACGGTGAATGAAATCTTTTAACTTCACAGTAAACCGATAAATAGACTTACCAAACATTATGCCTTAAATTCATTATCGCTTCTTGGTAATTACTTTGATAAAAGTATAAAGTGGTATATTTTTTTAATATTTGGTATAAGATTCTAAATTTCATTACAATCTGATCAAAAATTACAGTGTGAAAATGTAATAAACACTTCCCTTCCCTCATTTACAAATTTTCGGATTAATAACATTTAGGCATCGATCAAAAAAAGCACTGGAGATACACAATCCCATGCAAAAGTTCTCTTAAAACTGTCACCAATTGTGTTCAGGTAGTTATTCTAATTGAAATTAATATACAACAATGTAAATTAAACCTAATGCAATGCTTAAAGTTGTTTTTACAAAAAAAAAAAAACAATTAATAGCGCGCTCAAATTTTCAAATGAGCGCTCATTTGGTGAGGACATTTTTTGTCGCTGATTGTGTATCTAGTACTTTTATGATCGTTGTATTTACGTGATACATTTTATATGATTCAGGTATTAGATAGAGTGGACTTAACCGGAACGAAATCGACACCGCCGAGTGTCGAAGTCATCTTGAAACTTGTTCAGGCCACAGTCAAATACTTCTTTAGGTGCATACATGAGAAAGGTAAATATACTATTAACATATTGTTTTATAATAAAAAGTATTTTTTTATTTAATTAAATTTTTTTTGCATGCAAGTGATGAAAGAAAAAATATGTCAATACGTTCTTGTCGCATTTGTGTAAATACAAATAAATATGTTGGGATATTAACACACAGCACCATCTAGTTCCATGGTATAGCTCAGTTTGTAGTGACCCTGCTTATTGTATCAGCGGTCGCGGGTTTCAGTCCCGCAGGGGGTATTAATTTGTGTGATGAGCATGAATGTTTGTACTCCAGTCATGGGGTTTATATTTATAATATGTATGTATTTAAAGTTATATATTTGTAGTGTATCAACTATCTGGTGTCCATAACACAAGCCTCGTAGCTTACCATGGAGCTGGATGGTGAGTTGTGTATGAATGTGCCAACATATATTAACATAAAAGTTTCACTGTTCCTACGTCACATCGAGGCACGCCAGCGGTTCGTGATCGAACCAGTTTCGCGACGATCACTCCAGCGACGCGTCGTGCCCTCGTCAACGAGGACTCAAACAGGACAGGACAAATTCAAAATATTTTAATTATTACAATTTTTTACTTAACATCATGAGTCTACTACCAGTTCAGAAAGAAGAAACCTCAGACCAGAGCAGAACCGCCGAAAGAAACTCGTCGTCGTCAACAAGTCGTTATCAGCAACAATACAGTGCATTCAATAGTTAAGATCCCCAGCATCGCTTGTTCCCAGACATAATGACGAAGCTGGTGGGCGTCCAGACGGCGAGCCGGCTGCTGCGCAAGCTGTGCCTGCACAGCAAGCTGGCGCGCGCCGTGGCGCTGCGCGAGCTGCTCGAGACCGCCATGTTCCGCGAGGACAAGGTGTTCGGCGGCCAGCGCGGCGACCGCGACGCCGCGCCGGAGGAGATGCTCATGCATATGAACAGGAAGCACGTGAGTTTTGCTCCAGGGGATGTGAAGAAATAATTTTTATACTAATCGATATTTTCTTCTTATAATCGATTTTTAATAATTAATTCTCTATATATTAAAAATCGATTTTTAATGAATCGATGATTATATTACTTGATCTCTTTCTTTTTTTTTAAAGTAAAAAAGATAAGATATGCGTTGTTGGATTAAACCAATGTAGCCAAACTACACATTTTATCGTTTTGTTTTTTATATATATTTCAATTAAATGTTAAATAGTAGTAAAAATTAGTAGCAATAATTTTATTCAGTTTCCTCGTTATTTATTAATCTGTTTTTACAAATAGATTTATTTTAAAGAGAGAAAAATCGATTATTTAGTAATCGATTTTTTCCGTCCAAGTCACATTCCTATTTTGCTCTGGGGGTGGGTGAAAGTGTAATGTGGGTACAAAGTGATACAACTGTTTTGCTCCAAGGTTCGTTTAATATACTTTAATAGTAGCAAATTGTACAATATGTAGGTACCGGGGAGGCTTACAGTTTACACACAAACACTACAGGAGTGTTATTTATTTAATTATTTTTTATAGAGATAGGTTATAAAGTGTAGGTAGGTGGATGTTATTCTGTCAAAATGTTTTTGTTGGTTTAAGAAAGTTTTTTCTTTATATGCTGCTTTACACAAATTTTATTATAATGAGAACTGCGACACACGCTCGTCGGTATTTTGCATTAAAAAAAATATGGTAATATTGATCAGAAAATAAGAAATAAGATAGTGAGATGTAAATTGGACGGTATTTGTATTGCGTTATGCACTCTGTATTTAATGTGTTTATAGTTCTAGATTCATCCGACAGTTACAATTGGTTTTTTATCGTTTTTTAAGAATTATCATATTTTGTCCAAATACAAGTAAGGCCAATAAAGAATTATTAAATATTACTAAAATTTAAATGAAAAATAGATTTCGGTACAACACAGATCTATCTTGATCGAACTTAAGTTAGCGCAAGTGGTGCCGCAACAAATATCATATTCAGCCGTTTGCTTGCTGTCGGACGCAACCAACTTGACAGTGACAGGTGTGTGCGCGTGCTGCAGGGCCCCATCACGCAGCTGACGCAGAGCCACACGTCGGTGTTCCACGCGGGCACGGTGGGCGCGGGCGTGCGCCGCCGCGCCGCGCCGCGCGCGCCGCCGCCGCTGCTCGCGCGCGACGGCGAGCTGCTCATGGGCGCGCTCGTGGCCTGCATGGTCAGTCACACAGTCAGCTATTTAATTTATATTATTTTGTATGTATTGTGTTCAGTCCTTTTTAAAGTCCCACTGCTGGGCACGGGCCTCCCTTCAGTACGAGGGGGATCGGGCCATAGTTCACCACGACATTTTGAAAACTTGCTAGGTTTTCTCAGACATGCAGGTTTCATCACGATTGTTTCCTTGACCGTAAAGCAAAGTGGTAATTATGTTAAAAATGATTCGCACATGAAAATATCAGAAGTGCGAGACCCGGGATTTGACTCGCTTTACTCGGTTTTCCAAACGAGCGCGTTACTGGCCTACCACTGCCTTATACTATTTTCCTAGAGACTTATCCACTTTTTCTTATTCGGATACATCTCTAGGTACCTTTAGCGTGAAAGAGACAAATATACAATATTTTGCATCTATAATAATAGTTTTAATTTGAACCTATGTTTTTTATTTATTTGTTTATCCCTGTTTTATGTCTTCATAAATACATTTATCTATTGTTGCTCGTAAAAAGGGCTTTTCTAAAGTACTTTTCGCATTATAGCTTTTTGCAGTATTTTTTTTTGCATTTTATAATAATTAATCTTCTTTTACATTTTTTTAAATATGTATATGAAAATCAAATATTATATTTTAATATCTAATTTATTTTGCGTTTTAAAAATATTAAAAAGTGATATAATTTTGCCTTTATATTAATAATTGTTTTTAAATTTATATAATTTTAAGTTTAATTTATAAATATTTATTTATTCTCAGGATGGTAACAGCGGAATCGTTGAAGGGTCCACATCGATATCTCTACTCTTAGTAGAGTTGGTGTCACCAGATGTCATGTACAATGGACTTCCCTGGCCCGATGAAGATTTTACCAAGGTTGGTGTTTTTGATGTGTCCTTGTTGATTTTCGAAAATTTTGTATACTCCTGTATAAAATTTAAAATTTCAAATATTTACAAATAACCAATTTTTTGAAGTAAAACTTCTTTACGCACGCTTGACATGGTGGATAAGCTGGTGAATGCGTTACGAAAAAATGTACGTACATTTGTTGCCATGGTAACTGTTGTTGTTGTCTGACAAATGATATACATATGTATAATATTATATTCTTTTCTTATGGATCGAGATCCGGCTGCAAGATTGCTACGTTCATAGCATATTTAATCGAAATCATTTTTTTATATACAATAATAAAAGGGACAAGATGTTTTGACCGGGGTGCCTATTAAAATGTGTCCGCTAGCATGTAGCAAGTAAATAATAATTGACTTTTTGGAACAAAAACGATGCATTTGTTATTATAATGAATTATACTCCACTCCACAGAAACATACAAACAGTTAAGTAGAGCGTTAACTCTTTTTCACTTTAATCTATCTTTGCCATGGTAACCGTTGTTATTGTCTGACAAATTATACATAATATTATATTCTTTCATTCTTTTCTTTCCATTGCGGCCACTTTTACATAAGTGAGAGGTATTTTATCATGCACAGAAAAAAATAGCTTTAATTAGTAAATAAATAAATAAGTAAAAAAATAAATGATGAATATACGCCATTAACGTATAAATGTAACAAAAAAATCTTTAATGACTCGCAATCACTTTTGCGGCTACTTTTACATAGGCGACGTAGTTAATCAGGTACAGAAAAAAATAGCTTTAATTTGATATATAAATGATGAATATACGCGATGAACGTATAAACGTAACAAAATATGACTCGCTTACACCTGGCTGCGAAGAGGTTGCGGCCAAGTGCGCAACGGCAGCTATCACTTTTCCAGATCTCTACGTATGTTTCTGTGAAGTGGAGTATAATTCATTTTAATAACAAATGCATCGTTTTTGTTTCGAAAAGTCAAATATATTTACTTAATTAAGCATGCTAGCGGGTACATTTTAATAGGCACCCCGGTCAAAACATATTGTCCCATTTTATTATTGTATATAAAAAAATGATTTTGATTAAATACGCTATGAATGTAGCAATCTTGCAGCGGGATCTTAGTCCATTAAATGACCTATACACACAGAAATCTTAATAATAAGCTAATAGAAGTGGCATAGACGCGTGACCTTGTCGCCGCGCATGTGACTCGTAGGTCACAAGCGCGTGTAAAGCGTTTGTTGCGGTAACTAGTGTTATTTGAGACACGGAGAGGTAAACATGGTGTTTTGCAGCATATCCAACTGCGGAAATTCTTCCACAATTTGTAACTTTACAAATAAAGAGATAACATTTCATATATAAGCACTTAATTTTTGAAATAATGTCGTTTTTAAGAAATATAGCCAAATCAAATGTTTTCACCACCACTACTACGATTATCGCAGGAAAAGGTTTTTTTTTTCAATTCAATAACCATTACCACTTAAGCTTGTTTATGTCTACTATTACAACTGCTAAAAGCAGCAATGAAATAATAGTCATGCGTAAAGAACAATATCGTCACGTACGTAAATTCCAAGGACACGCCGCATAAGTTGACCGCGAATTAGTGACGTGCCACCACTATTTTTTATCGAAAATTTATTACGTTTGGCTTAATATTTTTCGTTAAATATTTAATTGTTACATCTCATTATGTATGTTTTCTTTCTGTCTGAATAATTTATAAAAAGTCATTTATCAACGATTATCTGTAAATTCGTACTTTTAAACTACTTTTTCATTCAGAAAATTATTAGGAAGTAGGCTTATTATTGTTATGTATATGGGTAAGTCAAAAAGAGTATGCGTTGAATAATCGTTGACATGTTCCGCATTTACCAAATTTTTTTTGATTTGATTTGATTGAGTAAATAATTCTAAGGGCGAGTTGTTTGATAAACATAACATAGAAATTCTATAAAAAAATTTAAGTCATTGTTAAAAATGTATAGGATTTTAACAAATAGTTTGCATAACTTTTGTATAATAATAATAATAATATTTATTGCAAAGGTATACACCCAATTTAGAATATAATAACATATATGTAGTTATACAAGTCAATTTTTATATCACTTATGCATATATATGCAAGTCAATAAAAACATTATAAAAACAAAATTCAGTCAGACTCTTCATTAAATTAAACTAGAATTAAAAACAATATATCGCTGTTGAGTATATAGTAGCTGTTGAGTGTATAACTATATAATAATAAAAAAAATTACTTACTTTTAACGTTTTATTGTATTCCCTTTATGAAAATAAATAAATCATCTAAAATCGCGTCGAGGAATGAAACATAAAACACTTTCAATAAATTAGTTACCTATTGTTGCAAGACTCAACGGAAAATTATCGATATGAGCATTATGCGCTTTGTGCTGCACTAGAAGTGAGCGCGCGATATCATTCTGTGCTTTTCGCACACGTTTATTATTGGTCACAGGGATCACGGGTTCTGAGATTATGCGTTTTTAGAAAATATTGCGTAATGTCATCGCTTAAAGTTTAATTTTTGTTGCAACAATGCAAAATGCATGTGTGAGCGATAGCGTGTATTTATTGTTTGTCAATGTGTTGGTAGCTGCAAGCCGGCGACACGCGTCCCAGTACTAAAAGACCGCAATGGCATTTCTATTACCTTATTATTAAGATTTCTGTGCCTATACATATTATAAAATTCTAACTGAGCCGAATCTGTACTTTAAATATATTTTGGAAAATCTTATTGAAATAGACATAATTATGGATACAGAGGCCAAAACTATAGTTTTTAGAATTTTTATCTGTCTGTCTGTCTCTCTGTTACCGCATCACAGAAAAACCACTGGAGGGATTTTGATGAAATTTGGTATACTGATAGCTGGTTATCCGGGTCAACATATAGGATACTATTTACTGAAAAAAATACAAAAACTGCAATGACAGAGTATACAAATATGTAAAACGTAAGAATTTGGTTTTTGGTCATCTGAATGCAGGCGGAGCCGCGGGAAATGCTAGTATTCTACAAATATATGATTGTAATATGCCTAATATGCCTTATCTTTAGTATCTCACCTATCCTAATTATTTAAAACATAAATTGAATTTCATAAAGAGTACCGATAACCTACAGAATCTTTATTTCTTGCGCGTGTACACATTCATACACGCACTATTTAAGTTATTTTACACGCGGTGCTTGCTGTAATAAAGTAATAATAAAATGTTGTGTGTGTGCTCTTGTGTCGGCGGCGGCAGCAAGTGAGCATCGAGCGCGAGCTGTACACGCGGCGCTGCGTGTCGCGCTGCGGCGTGTCGCGCGCGGCGCTGCGGCGCGTGGCGCGCGCGCGGCCCGCGCTGTGCCTGGCCTCGGCGCTGCTGCGCGCCGTGGCCGCCTCGCTGCTGCACCGCAAGCGCGCCAGCGACGGTACCCACACGCGCACACACACCCGCACACACATACACGCATGCACATATTTGTCATCCATACTTAATATTATAAAAGTAAATCAGAAATGATATTAATTAAAATTTTTGAATGCAGAACAACAATCATACAACACGAACTAACAGTCTGTATAAAATGATTTTATAAAAAAATGAACTTCTATTATTAAAAGTATTTGAATTTTATTTTTATCATGCTTTAATTATGGAGTTAAGAATAGTATTACTGGTACAAAATAAATTGAATAATCCTAAAAAATATGAACTTCGATAAGATACACACACATACATACACAAAACAAAAAACAGAAGTTATTAATAAGAAAAACAAGTAAAGGTAGTTTGTTCATGTAACCTAACAGATCGGCACACGCAATCGGAAGAGATGGCGCGCGAGCTGGCCGCGCTCACAGAGCTGCTCTCGGTGATGACCCTGGGACAGCTGCTGCCTCATCCCCTTAGCCATATACTAGAACTGGCACCCGAGTTGACTGCTAGTGAGGTAAAATTATAAGAATTGTTATTATACAATGTTATACACCTTGTCGTCAGTGGCGCACTTACCCTTTTTAGACTCCAATGCAAATTAAATACCCCTATTTGCCTATTTCAAAATGAATATGGTCCAAGAGATAGTTTTTGAACTTCTCAATTATTTCAAACCACTCTCACGGTATAACGGGTAGAGTAAAATTTAGTAAAATAGCTGAGCTTAGAGGACCAATCGTCGTTTTATAGAACACGGGTAAGATCACATTCCTCGTGATCCTCGTAAAAAATAATATGGCGGAAGTTTAGAACACTTTCTTCTTACGGTTTTTTAAACTTCTATGAAGGTTGTCCTCGGAAAAATGTATTGAAATAAAAGCATTTTTTGTGACCCGATTTATAGAATATAAATGTTGAAAATTAAATATAAAATGGCCCGCTGGGACTCCGCAGGTTGGCGGGTTTCACATGTCTTTCGTAAACTTGCCAGGTTCTCTCAGACATGCAGGCGGCAGGTTTTCTCACGATGTTTTCCTTTACCGTAAGCCAAGTGGTAATCAAGTTGGAAACGATTTCGTCGAATATGGTGAAATTTATTTCCCGCAATATTTTAATTCTATGTAATCATAAAAAATGCAAATCGAAATAACAAAAATGTGTAGAATCTGTCAGAAAAATATTTAATACTAATGGACGGACTAATTACAGCTGGAAAAATTACAAACATATTCAATCACAACCTTCTGCGTAATAAAATTTGTGTGATGTAGTTGTATAATGTAAAAACCGGCCAAGTGCGAGTCGGACTCGCGCACGAAAAGTTCTGTACCTTTATCTATAAAAACGGCAAAAAAATCATGTCTGTTGTATGGGGTCCCCTTTAATATTTATTTTATTCTGTTTTTTAGTATTTGTTGTTATAGAGGCAACAGAAATACATCATCTGTGAAAATTTCAACTAACTATCACGGTTCATGAGATACAGCCTGGTGACAGACGGACAGACAGACAGACAGACAGACAGACAGACAGATAGAAGGACGGAGGGAGAGCGGAGTCTTAGTAGTGGGGTCCCGTTTTACCTTTTGGGTACGGAAACCTAAAAATTATAATTGATTGTTGCAGATTGTTCAAGTGCTACGAGATTGTATATGGAACTACACCCGGGACCATGTCCCATCGCCAGCATTATTTACATGCGATTCTACAGGTAATTAATACACATAAAAACATAATATCTTTGCTCGATCGATACAGTGTAAATAGTAGCATGCGATTATTTAACCTATCTTTTCGGATTTTTTCGCGGATTTATTTTGTTTTTTTTAATGTTTTCAATTCATTACAATCGAATCGTCGGGAACCAAAAATCAAAATAAATCCACGAAAAATATCGAAAAGATAGGTTTATTTAAAGTAAATAGTACCAACAATTATAACAGTGTCAATTATTAATTTACAATTAGTATACACGTTTATTTATTTAACGGCATGTTTAGCTAAGTTTGTAGTGTTAGTGCTACCCTACTTGCTGTGCCAGTGGTCGCGGGTTCGAGTCCCGCTGGGGGCTATCATTTGTGCGATGAGCACGAATGTTTGTACTCCAGTTTGGGATGTTTAAAGTTATATATGTGTAGTGTATCAACTACCTGGTATCCATAGCACAGGCCTCGTAGCTTACCATGGAACTAGATGTTGCTGTGTGTTAATGTCCGAACTTATATTTATACGTTGATTTCTAGGTCTCCATTGGCGGGACCCTTCGACCTGCAAGCCGCCAGCGACGTACACAGATACTTTACGGTTAATTATACAAAAAAGGATATCTAAATTAGGTCATATGTACCCAATAATGTTTTTAAATCTTGAAAAAGATAGCTAAATTAAGAAATAAGATTTTTTTTGTACATAGTGTGATGACAAATAAAGTGCCTATGAAATATATATGTTTTAATTATTTGTCTATTTCTCTTATTTTAACATGACCTGTAGTGCCTTGATGGACTTTTTACTGCAATAGTAAACAATCATGTGGCCAGTTTTTTATAAACTGTAACCATAGCCAATATTATATCCTTAATTTTTTTTTACCGATTTTGGTTACGGTGGCCTTAATATTTTTGCTATAATTAAAGTAAATGAATGGAGATGTTGTATTGGCCAACCTGGGACCACGTTCGTAGCGGATTTAAAATTGTTCAAAACTTCATTTTTATATTACTCGTATTTCGTAGGTTAAATCTTAAAATATTGACTTAATCTACATGTACTTACCGAAAATAATACATTCTGGCTGAAAAATTTCTTCTTCGCGCATTATTTTTGCAACTTTTAAATACACATTGCGGCCTTGTGAACGTCTTTACGCTGGCAGTGTTTAAATAGAACTAATCGAAATATACGCTCTCTTTGCAGGTGAGCTTATATTTACCGAGACGGATTTCTTACGCCGACCCGTTATCTAGTAGTATTGTTGATCGAATGTTAGATCTTAAAACGATCTCTAACCAGGGCTCAGCCTATAAAGTATAGACTAATCATAAATCAACAAGAGTATAGAAGTAAGAAGTTGTCAACTTCAAAATTACATGTATAAATCAGAGATGCGCAAACTAGGTCCTGGAGTGGATTGAACATGGAATAGTTCCTTTCCATAAAGGAACTATGTTCACGAAACATGTTCGCGGAACTATCTAGTTCCGATAGTTCTTACGATCCGATCGTTCCGATTTTAACAGGTTATCACTGTCATCGGTTCCCGAGGACAGCATAGCGGGAGATATAGTTTTAATTGACCGACTTCAAAAAAAAGGAGGTTATCAATTCGACACGTATGTATATAATATTATTAGAACTGCAAGATATTAACATAATATGATATATTAGGGCTTCGAAGCAAATATACAAAATTTTATAGGTGTATAGATGTATGTATGTATGTTTGTTTGTTTGTTTGTTTGTTTGTTTGTTTGTGTGTATGTATGTTTGTCCACGCATTTCGCCGAATCTACTATTCCGACGTGATTATGCCTTTTTATTTGCTTACATTTATTTTAACTTAGGGAATAGTAAGAATTTCATCAAAATTGGTTCATTGGTTTTGAAGATATGGATAAAAAAGTGTATTTTTTGTAATTACTACTTTTTACAAAAACTATTTCAGTTTTTACTTAAAACTAAAAATTACGAAATAAAAAAGGTTTAAAAAAAAATTAAACCAACTTCAAAAAACTACGGTGCTTTCGCGCGCAATGTGACTCTAGACGAACGCCACAAAGTACAAAAATATTGTGTCAAAAGTGAAAGAATATTATAATTTAAAAATATATTATTAATGTTTTAAAAGTTCAAAACGAAAATCAGATTTAATCAATGAATTATCGACTTTAACGCACAGTGAAGTTGGCACATTATTAATTGTAATAGCATAGTAAGAGATGACATTATAATTATTGCGAATACTCGCACACGCACTAGTCACTACAGAAGTTTACACACAGTACCTACGCGATATAATGGCGCTTCCACACAGCAGTGCAGCAGATAACATCACATACCTAACATTTTTTAACATGAAATAATTTTAAACCCACGAAAAAAAGGAGAAGGTTCTCAATTCGACACGTATAAATATATTTTTTTTATTGTTTGACCTCTTCTTACTTTGGTACTAGGTATCTACTATATCTACACTAAAAATGGAAAATAAAAACTTAAAAAAAACTACTTCAAATAAATGAAAATATTGTAAATGATTGTTTAACTTATGAATTATTTTATTATATACATTGATTTTAATTTTTAATTATTTATTGTTACTATTTTTATTAATTATAAATTCTAATTCATATTAGGTATTGTAAAAATTAAGAAAAAAGTTTAAATTAATAAACATTCTTTATATACATCATAATTAATATAACATTAGATCTAATACTATTATTATAATATAACTGAATATGAAAGGATTTTATTAATAATTAATAAATACTTACTTTCTTAAATTGTTTTAATAGCAATTTTAGTAAGCGCAAGAAATGAAAGGCTTTTTTATTTTAATTTAATGTATTTAGTTTGTGTTCGGTGTTTGGCACGTGTTTATGATTCTCGGTGCTTGTGGCAAGCGCCCAGCATGTGGACGCGGCTTAACAGATTACTAAAAAAAATTAACGCTTGTGAGGACGCACCTTAAAATTTAATATATAGCTATAGCTCGGGTAGGTTCGGCAGGAGTCGGTTACGTTCAGTTCAGTCAGTCGCTCCGGTGATCGGTCCAATATATTCGTTTCTCGCTCCATCTCACTCCTGCACATGCGGAACTATATGAAACTGTGAACCTGTTTCAATTGACATCGCGGATTGGAACGATATCGTTTCGGCCTAGGACATAGTTCCGGGAACTATTTCAATCCGGACCTACGCATGTCTAGTATAAATGAGAATGACACTGTCAACTGTCAAGTGCCATTGTCGTACTAATTAGTAATTCGTAAACATTGACTAATTCCATTTGGCATTTGCGTTGTTGTATTCCTTCATAATTTTGTTTATTTATTAAAAAGAAGGTGCTTTCATGTAATTAAATAAAACATTAATATAAATTGTCCTAAGCGTGTAGCACACTGCACAACAAATAAGTCATGGAGGAAGAAGTGCCAAAGCCGGTGTGTCTCATCATATTAGGTTAGATTTGGCTATACACAAATAATAATGTATTTTATGTTTTAGATACTAATAATATAATAAACTATTGTTTAATATTGTTCTTAAGGTATGGCAGGGGCAGGTAAAACTTCCTTTACGAGACGTCTTGCCGGTAAAGTTAATAATGGCTCCAGGCCGTATTTGATTAATTTAGATCCAGCGTGTCGTGAGGTTCCATATCCAGCTAACATAGGTATGGATATAATATCTAATTGTTTTACTGTCAATATAATTTGTCTTTACACTTTGTATCAGTCATAGAAAATACTTAAAAATATTTTGGCTCTGTTTTCCAGATATAAGGGATACTGTGAACTATAAAGAAGTAATGAAACAGTATGGGCTAGGTCCTAATGGTGGTATTGTTACTGCTCTCAATTTGTTTTCTACTAAATTTGGACAAGTAGTTGACTTAATAGAGAAAGCTGGAAAGAAACATAAATACTGTATTATTGATACACCAGGTAAATTCAATATAAATCACATTAAGGAAAACAACTAACTTAATATGCCTATTATGTTTATCATGGAAAAATGTATTTGCAGGTCAAATAGAAGTTTTCACATGGTCGGCCTCTGGTACTATAGTGACTGAGACATTAGCATCCTCCTGTCCCACAGTAGTTGTGTATGTGATGGATACAGTTAGGAGTGTGTCTCCTGTAACATTCATGTCAAATATGCTGTATGCCTGTTCCATATTGTATAAGACGAGATTGCCATTCATTGTTGTTATGAATAAGGTAAGAAATAATTAGAAACTTCTGAAAGATGTATATTACATATTTATACAGCTTTCAGAAGAATATATCAGATTCTATAAAAGTATAGGATTTATGGTAAATATTATTTTATCACAGCATTTTTTGTTTATTAATATTAATTTATTTGTGAATTCAATTTAGGGAAAAGTTTTTATGATTTAAATTATTATTACATTTGTTCACTTATTTACAGACAGATGTAGTGGATAACAGTTATGCAGTGGAGTGGATGAGAGATTTCGAAGCATTCCAAGAAGCATTAGATGCGGATAGTGAAGGTGAGGGTAGCACCTATGTTGGCAACCTGACGAGGTCTATGTCACTTGCACTAGACTCATTCTATACGGATTTACGGTGTTGTGGAGTTAGTGCGCATACAGGAGAGGTAAATATAAATAAGATAAACATAATTTTTAATTGACTATTTATTCACTTCTGTAACATACCATTTCCGTTACAAAAATCCTAACATCAATCCTTTATTCCCTCTTAAAGAAGTTTCACTTTAATAACACATATGGTACATATTTATTTATTTATTTATGTACCATAAAATATATGTTATACAAAATTAAGTTACAAAATGTTGACAAAGGATAACTTATCTCTTTAAGAGATATAGGTATCCCAAAAGTAATGTAGGAAGTAGTTTTGATTTAAATCATATATTTTTAATTAAAAACGTACTTTTATTATTAAATGTTTGTTTTATCAATTTCAGGGTATAGATGAATTTTTCAAATTAGTTGATGACGCTGCAGAAGAATATGAAAAGTAAGTTAAAAAAGGAACCATTTTTTACATTTGTGACATAACTTTGATTATTAACTTATTTTAACCGTGGGGATATGGCTCTGACAGCTCATGCACAGGTCTCCTAGTTCGGCTGCAGATGCTATGTTTCAAATATTTGTATGTACCAAATTAGATCTAACCTTTTTTTTATACCTTTTGGAAATAAATAACTTATTAATTAATTATTTTTTTACTAATGAAAGGTACAAGGATAATTTCTAAAGGCACACTTCGTTTTTGTTAAAACAACCTCGTGACTTCATTGAGCATTTTTCAGTATCTTTCTTCTATTTTATTTTCACTTGAAAATTTTATCATGTGTTACCAATACATTTATAAGAATATGCTTTGAATTGAAGGGATTACAAAGCAGATTGGATCAATATGAGGGCGGAGAAATTAGAAGAACAAAAGAAAAAAGAAGAGGAGGCGAAAAAAGGCACTAATGGTAATATTTTTATATATTTTTTTATTACCATCGTTTCATGTAAAGTTCATTTTTCTCGCTTATTTTTTTTCGTCAGTATTGACGTAATGTTCTGATATTTTATTTAACCTTTGATATATTTAATGTGTCTATCCCAAATAGTTAGAAAAGAATTTTAACCAACTTATTGAAAATTGTGTTTGCTATTGTTATGTTAAAATGTGTCTAAATTAAAAAAACCCAAACAGAAAATAAAATGGGTTTACTAACCAACTTTCAAATAATAATAAAATTAATGTTTGTTTGTATTGAATAGGCTCCGAAACTACTAGACCAATTTTGATGAGATTTGGTAAGAAGATAGCTTGATACCCTGGGAATAATATAGGTTACTTTTTACCCCGGAAATCATCTCTTATGGGGGTGAAAATGGGGATAACATTTTGTATGGGGATTTAAGCTAGGAACGGACCCGAGCGAAGCGAGGATCAGTCACTAGTTTTCTATATAGACAGGCTATAGAAAAAAACCGAATCAAAGTGGCCCATTTTTTTTAGTACGAGACGGAGTATCTGTTTCTATGAAATAAGGTTCCGCGTGGATCATTCGGATATGGATGTTAATCCTAAAAAATAAAAAGTAAATATTATTTACAGTCGACGACACAGTGATAGATAAGAATAAGTTAATCGAACAAGTAATGAGTGGCCGGGAGATCAGCGACATGTACTTAAAGCACCCGGGAGACGAGAGCTCTAGTGACGACGAGGGAGTGGAAAATCAGCCGGAATTAGGTAATTTATTATATTCTCAATATAAATGCAAATAATAATTTTTACCCGACTAATCTGAGACATACATGTTTTATTTGCTGCAAACCTTGTTAAATGAATGTGTCTCCGACTGCATAATACTATATCTTTGACAACTTGTTCGTATCTTTTAAGTTAACTTTTTGACACAGTCGGTTTTTTTTATTTTTGTCAGTATTTGAAGTGAAAACTTCTTATAGGCAGGTTTGGATGGGGAGTAAATTCATGTAAGTCGTCATCGACATGGTCACGTGACGTGTTAACGCTAACACTCAAGAGTGCCGATAGATGTCAAAACTAGATAAATGTAAATAGTTTTATTTCACACATTTTAATTTAAGATTAAATAATTAATTTGAATATCCAAAAATAACAACTGTTTGTTTATACTTTTAAGTTTTTACTGCTGTCAACAGTCCTCATCACTGCTTTTTTTATGAATACTATAATATTATAAAGAGGTAAAGTTTGTGAGTTTGTGACTTTGTAGGGGGTAATCTCTGGTTCTACTGAACTGATTTAGATGAAATTTAGTAAGAAGATAGTTTGAGACCCTGGGAAGGACATAGGATACTTTTTATTTCGGAAATCATCCCTTAAGGGAGTGAAAATGGGGATGAAAGTTTGTATTGGGCAGCAAGCCAGGGACGAACCCAAGCGAAGCGAGTGTAAGTCTTTAGTTAATAATTATAATTACATGATATATTTCAGATGATAACAAAGAAGACGTTGCTGCATTCCAGGACTTCATCAAAAAACATGTAAAACCTGGTGATGAAAACAAAACATAAAGGCAGCTGTGTATATTTTATTTATTTTGTAAGTAGCTTTTAAGTATTAATTAAAGTAAATAAATATCATTCTGGTTGTTTATTTCTAAATCACAGATGCAATTGGTTTTAAAAATTACATATAAAAATGAAATTATTGACAACAGAAATAATAAATTATGTGGAAAAAAAAATTAAACATGGATGTCTAAGAATGTGCATTTAAAGTAAGTTTGAACCTTATATGAATTTTAACGAATTACATTATATTTTAAGCGATTTATATATTTTAAAGTTATACTACAAAGAACATTTAAATTACAACCTAAGAATTTGTTCAAAAAATTGCATATAGATTAAACAAAATAAAATCATAATATATCAATTTAAATGGAAAAAAAATGATGGACATTGGATGTACATAATTTTTGCATCTACACTTTTAAAATTACATTACAGAAGTAATCGAACTTTAAATTAATTTTAAGTATTAATATAAAAATATTGTATCTTTGCATGAATAAAGTTAACACCAATGCTACTTAAAATTTCACCTTCAAACTTGATTTTGTTAAAGAAAATAAATTCGAAAATGATATAAAATGAACACAAATTATACTAAAACATCTTAAGATTTTTAGTGCAAAAATGGTTTCAATTAAACATAATTATTGTTACTTAAATTGTTAATTTAACAAATGAAAATAAATAACATGCAAATACTATAGTCATTTATAAATTAATGGACTTTTTCAAAAAGTACTTAGAAGTGTATGGAGTATTGAAGCGTTATTAGGACATTTCTGCACTAAAAGCCTCAGAAATGTACGAGTATTGCTAAAATAAGAGTTGGTTGGTATTGTAGGATACCCGGTAGGAACGAAGTTCCTTTCGCTGTCTGCTCTTGGCTCGTAAATTAGGTCTTAAAAATTGCATTGTTTAATAAACTTCAAGCAACATACATATGTACAATGTTGAAGCTCATCGAAGAAAGGCCTGCACAGAGTGCACACGAATATCTTACTACATACACTTCTTAACACTTCTGCTCGCCTGGATCTAATGATGACGTCACACTGAGTGTTTTTAGTAAATAATAACTCCTTCTTTATGGAAGTTGGTTAAAAAGTGTCGTGACGGTAAAAATATTACATTTTTTCCGTCTACCTCTCATTCGCCAAGTGTGCGGAGTGACGGTGACGGTAGGGTACTTTGTTTCAATAATTATACATCATGTATTTTTTTTTAAACGCATTATGTGCTTTATATACTAATTATGGATTATGACGTTTAGGTTAATTTATTACCTCACTTTTTGCCGTAGTTAAGTACATTTTCTTGACAAAAGTACACATGCCTAGTTGAATTCATTTAACAGTAACATTATTTAATTTAAAGTACACATTAATTAATTTAAAGTAATTTAATATTCTATTACATTTTTTTTAAATGTAATCCGACTAAAATATTAAAAACCATAAGTACCATATAACGCAAAATAAAACGAATGAATAGTTTACTATGTTAAAATGTACTGCTTATCTAGAAATGTTTTAAGATGAAATGTTTGTTTGTTTGAACGCGTTAATCTCTGAAGTACTGTACGATTTGAAAAAATCCTTTTCCATTTTAAAGCATATTTATTCAGGAAGGCTAGTCTACCTAACATTATCCGAACGCTTATCAGTGAAACAATTATACATACATATACTTCAGGCGAAGTGGATCCACGGCTGGTGAAAAAGCTAGATTATTGAAATTATACTTCTTCTGGCACGTTTGGAAAAGAAAAAAATATGAGAATAAAATTTTTACGATGCGTGCGCATACCGACAGCCAAAAAGCGACTTGATGAAGTTGGGTGGCATTCCTTTTACAAACAGAGAGTGGTGACATATATATAACTTTTTACGTGCGTGCATAAGTAGACACAGACGTTTTTTGTTATATATTTTTCGGACGCACGATTGTTATAGGTGAATCTGGTACGAAGTGCGGTTACGAAATCCAGCGAGATTCACAGATATTTTAGTAGGATTATAATAATTTAACGTACAATTTTTTTTATGTCAATTTACGTTTTATGTCATTTTACACGCTATCATGAAACAACCATTAAACGTGTTAATACACAAAACAAAAAATCCATAATAGCACGTCATAAGAAATAGTTATAACGTAAAAAATAATATTTGCAAAGTAACATTAAACTGTAAAATTTAAAAGATACAAAATCTTAAATAACAATGCAAATACGTACTTATAGATCGAGAAAATAGGGACCAATTTGGACAAAATGCTTAAATAAACATGATCAAATCATAATATTTAAAACTAGCTACCTAGCTACATACTTTTTTGAGCGGAATCTAATTTTTTTCTAAAATAAAAGTAGCCTAAGTTACTCCTTATAAAATCAGCTACCTGCCAGTGAAAGTCCCGTTATAATAGGTACAGCCGTTTCCGAGATTAGCCGGAACAAACAGAGACACAAGTTTTTTAAAGTTGTGTGTTTTCTTATAAGTACCGTATATAATTTTATGTGCATTTATTAAAAAGTTGTTATTTTGACATTACAAACAGACATTTCAATTTTATTTGTCTGTATAGATTTGAAATTTGTAAATGTGAGTGTGAAAGCTATAAAAAAACCTTTAATGTTCAGTGAGAGATCTTACATTACAATTTCAGAAAACAACTGTGACGTTTTAAATAAAACTATCTTTTCGGATTATTTCGCGGATTTATTTCGATTTTTGGTTGCCGACGTTTCGAATTCTTTACATCAACAAATCATCAAGCATTCGAAACGTCGGAAACTAAAAATGAAAATAAATCCGCGAAATAATCCAAAAAGATAGTTTTATTGAAAATGTTAAATATTTGCGTAAATATAACAATAAGAAAATATTAACTGTGATGTTATTACAATTTAACGAGATGACGACATTTTTTTCCACTTTTTTAATTTATTATTATTTTAAATGCCTAGCATAGACACTTTTCGATTGTACTTTGAACATTGTGGCCATTTAGGGTGTTTTTAGTGCGACGACCGGCGCGTTCCAACGACGGATCCTTCAACATCCAAGCGGGGCGGTACGACGTGCCTCCGACATCCTTGTATGCTAGAGACGGGTTTGGCTGAGTGTTGTGCATACTTCCTATTGATGTATATCTAGAAAATGAGTTATATTTACTTTGGAGTATCGCTTTTAGTTTTAGGGTTCCGTAGCTAAAAAACGGAAGCCTAATATTTTCCTTATTTCGTCTGCCCGCACTTTTTAAATTATGGAATAGAAAATTCTAAAATAATAGATCTCGAATAATTTCAATGAAAATTTATTTTAAAGAACGTAAGTTGCAGTTAGCTTTTGAGTTATGGATTTTAATCAGTACCTCGCGTTTGGCCGCAAAATATACTTTGTTTCTCGTAAAAATATTATGATATACAAATTTTTATTTACTCTAAATTTGAGGACAGATAGGAATATTAATATATGTATTATGTACCTACATTGTGGAGTGACCAGCTATATGTAACGAGGGAAATCGGTAAGGTGATTCTAAACTTTCAAGAGATAAAAAATCTAACTAGATACGTATGTTATTTAAAATAAAAAATAAAAAAAACTATTTACCATATATATCATTTGAAGAAAACACAAAAATTATGATTTAAATATAATAAATTCTCTATTTAACAAATGTTTTACCGATATAATTGTTCGTTAAAAAAATATCACTTACCCTTTATCATATAAACTACAGTAAGGCACATTATTTTGTAGAATATAACTCCATATTTGATGGTAACTCCAATTAAGTAATGGTGATACTCTAACAATTTGCGGCCAGTGTGAATCAGTTTTCTAGAATAAAAAAATGTTTAAAGCCCTTGCTATATCTATACATATAATAAAATTCTGAGTCGAATCTTAATAAAATCTTATTGAAATAGTCATTATCATCGATACAAAGGCTGAATCTATAGTTTTTAGAATTTTTGTACGTCTGTCTGGGAACGCATCACGAGAAAACCATTGGACAGATTTTGATGAAATTTGGTATGATGATAGCTGGTTATTCGGGTTCACATATAAGATACTTTTTACTGTTGGAAAATATCTCATCTCTGAGAAATCTATATTAAACGTTAAAACGTAATTAGGAAAAAATCGAGCGGAGCGAAGGTAAGTCGCTTGTCTACATACAAAATTTATTTAAAATATTGAACTTTATTCAATTTTACACACTTATAAAATCTACTCAAGTGTTTGTGAAAACAAGCACTTCAGTCGATTTTATTTAAAGATACTCAGTCAATGTAGTATCTATGTCACGAAGTTAGTAGCTACCATCGCTAAAGGCAACTCTGCTGAGAGAAACTCAACGAAAAGATTTGGCAAATGATTTCGGGTTAAAACTTTTAAATATGAACCACGACGAAGCGTAGGACTTGTTATATCACAAATGCGAACTGTACTACCTTCACACTGCAAGAAAGCTACGGGTTGTCGTTATTTTTTAACTGATATAAATCAGAAATTGACATTGGCTACTTTTTTCTCAGTATATTATGAAGATATTTCTAAGTATATTCAGTTCCCTTGAGATATTAGCCTATAGCAAAGTTACTTAACAATGCAACCAAGCAAGGTGAGGGGATGTAAACAAATTTATTTATAATGTGTATGTATTTAAAGTTATATATGTGTAGTGTATCAACTATCTGGTATTCATAACACAAGCCTCGTAGCTTACCATGGAACTAGATGGCGCTGTGTGTTAATGTCCCAACAAAAAAAATATGTGAATTAATCATATTATAGATATCTCCAACATCCACCTTACCTAGGTACCTACTATACCTACGCACATAAGGATGGATGGTGACATAACATATTAATTAAAGACTAAATGATTACCGATTCAACCAGTTTTTGTTGTTTACCGTTTTCTTATCAATAAAACCTACCTGCATAAATTTCAATTCTCCACTATAGGGATCTGTACGTCGGGTGCCCAATAGACATGCTTTTAATTTGATATCCTCTTCCAATATATTTTGCAACGTCGACTTCATCTCACCTTCGGTTACCTTTAATTTAACGCCATAATGGGTTTCTATTTGTTCCACAAAAGCCTCTATTTCTTTAAAAGGCCCTAATGTTCTAATGTACACTATTTTTAAATCTTTTCCTATGTCGTTACGTTTGTATATATCTTTTAATATGTTTATTGTAAGATCTAATAAAACTGTGCAATCCTTTCCACCATTGAACGATAGAAATACTTCGTCTAGTTGAAATTTTTTGAAGCATTCTCTTATTACCTGCAACATAATGTGTTTTAATATTAAATTCAAATACTAGGAATAAATAAAAAATATGTGTTTATTCTTAAATTTCTTATTTACTCATTATTATTTTTATCATTTTGAAACATTTCTATACAACTTATATGTTTATAAATAATTTTGGATAAGAAATTGTTAAATAAAACTAAAAAACTACACGACATTGGCAAAGTATACTGTGCTCGAAGCACGCCTTTAAGCTACAGACTAAAAAAAATGAATTGAAAACTAAAAATATCTAACTGTCCAAAACTAAAAAGATGAGAACAAGTTGATTTAGTTAGCTTTTTACGCAGTCGATTTCATTTTTGTAATTAATCCCCAAAAAGGTAAATCAATCTTTTTTTTTTTCTTTCATTAATGGTAATCATATTTAAGGCGGCACCGAGCTTTTGGCGTTAAATGCATTTTAGTAGGGCGAAAGCGGGCTGGGGGGAGTGTGTCTAGGATGGACGCAACGCGTGAGAATTTAGGTATTTCCTTCGTATTATTAAAACAAATACACATTTTGAAAATGTCAATTATATACGTTATAGAATACGTGGGTATAGTTTTATTATTATTAAAAAAACTGATGAACTTCCTTGAATTATTTACGCCGCACTTAAGGTTTATTTTGTTTTTTAGAGATTTTGGATTTTTTCTATAGAGGAATCTTACGAGTACATAATCGTGTTTCTAAAGTGTACGATTTATAGAACAAATCCTTCAATTTTATACATATTATTTGCATAATTAAACTGCCTCGGTGGTGTAGTGGCTAGCATGTACGGCTGCACACCCGGAGGTCCTGGGTTCGAGTCCCGGGTCGGGCCAAATTTTTTGTATTTTTTTTTTCGTAATTTCGTCTCGCTGCCTTGGTGCGCCCTTAATGAAAATCCCTATGAATTTAGCACTGATAGTATACTCGACTCTATTGATACCATAATGGTTTTGTATGTAAATTAACTTAATATGTAGATATAATGGTTTTGAAAGTTTTTAAGTTTAGATTTACTAAGCCTTCGCTGTTAGTCTGTCCGTCTGTCAGAGGGCTGTATCTCACGAACCGTAATAGGTAGAGAGTTGGAATTTTCACAGAGTATGTATTTCTATTGCCGCTATAACAACTAATAATAAAAATACAAGATATTTTTATAACATTCTCGTAATCGATCATCGAAGTTAATATATTACATAATATGTACCTACATAAAGTAAAAGTCATATTAATAAAAACTACATGTACGATGGTACGGTACCTTACATGTGCGAATTCGATTCGCACTTGATCGATTTTTAAATATACCGTCTTGCTTTACAAAAATAATACGAACCTTCGTAGATTCCACTAAGACTTCGCTAAAATCTTCTAGATCCATGTTTTATATTTTTACCATCACTTTACTGGAATAAATCAATTGTATATATTAGTTACATATAAATGTCAACACCATTGGTTAAATTATTATTCTGTTGAATGTTACTATACATAATAATATTAGGTAGTTCAAAATTTATTTATTATTTAATATTTAACATGTGTGTTTTTTCATTTATAGTTTGAATCACAAAATATGGAAAAATTTGTATAAAAGACAATCTATAATATAAGCTATTATGATACTTGAGTTTTGTTTCATGAATATGTGTACTTTGCTGTGTATTCCTGTACATATTATTAATATATGAATACCCTTTTCTTCACAGTAAAAACTACTGTATGGTACTACATGATATTGCATTTAATATATAATATCAATTTAATTCTTAAGATTTAACTTTTATATAAGTATAAGTCATTTAAAGATTTTTTTAAAATGTTATTTTTTTAATGGAATTACATATTAATTAATAAAAAAAGGTAAAATTTAAAATGTTTATTTCCCAAAAAGAAATATCTACAAAAGTATCTTTTCATATAAAGAATATAATGTATGCTTTTTACAAAAGCAATTAATTGGCATTTTGTGCAGTTTTAATTATCTATTTCTCTTGAACATATTTTCTTATTTGGGGGTTCTTCTACTTCATTTCCATGGTTTTGATAGAATATTATTTCCTTAGTCAATTTAAAGGTAACCCTCATCATTTCCTTTTTAGGAGACACACTCCTTACATCAAAAATATCAATAATATTAGAAGATATGTCCATTTCCATATTTTCATTAACCATTTGCTTTGCTACAGAATAAGGATTATCCCCAATAGCAAAACAATACACATGCACAATTATTTCATAATTAAATTTATCTTTTATATCCATTGTGCTAATAAGTCCTTTAAAATATTTTAAAAATTCAACAGCCATTGATGGTAAATTCATGGTTATATGTATTTTATTATCGTTTTTCAGTTCTTCGTCTCCTTTACAGCATTCAATTATAAAGTTTTTAAAAGTATTACATATAAAATCTTTACCATCCATACAATATGTTTTAAAGTTCAAATTGATTTTATTGTGTTTTGCATTATAATTCAGCCATTTAAATGATTCAGGGTTTAAATCATTTGCATAGACTATACATTTACGTTTAGCAGCTGGAATGGAGAAAGGCCCAACACCACAAAAAACATCAAATAGTATATCTCCAGGTTTCAGAAGCTGTATTATTCTTTCATGCTCCTTGGCTAGCCGTGGATTCCAGTATACTTTAGAGAAATCAAATTGAAAAATGCATCTATTCTCTTTAACAGTTACCAAAAAATCTTCTTCACCTGCTATTACATCCATATTAAAATTCCGATAGGTATTATCAATGATACCATTTTTATTAACAACAGTACGGCATGTTTTAATTTTGTCAATTAAAACTTGGCCAATAAGACTGCGATATTCCAGCAAATGCTCTTTTAAGTTTAAATGTATTATGTGTCCAATCTGAGAAAAACAACTTAAAGTTTCTTCATTTTCAGGTAAAACTGCCTTAAATATTGTATCATATTTAAAGTTATGATATGTCAATTGAAGATTTCTTATTTCAAATTGATCTTCATTTATATTGAGTTTTTCAAGTGACAGACGATCATTCTCCAAAATATCAAGCCATTTAGTGACTTTAACGGGATCTAAACGTATGCACTTGTTTTCAGTTGGTTGATCTAAACTTTGAACAGCCTTAAAGTTTTCAAGTTTTAGCAAATACTGTTTGCATATTAGGATTATTTTGGACAATTTGTCTCCAGTCACTTTTAAAACTGGTACTTTAATTTCACGCTGGAATTTCTCACGATCCAGACATTTCATGCCACGAACACCGATCGGAACTAACAATGAGTTTTCAGAAGAAGACATTTTAACTTTGAACTTAATTAAAATGGTACGAATTCGGGTTAAACTGAATGATAATAACACATTTTTCATACTAACCTAATCCAAGGGCAAATCATCACATCGACTTAATGAAAAGCAAAAGAAAATCAAAATGTTCGCTGGGATTTTAATCTTTCTGGTCTTAAATTGTATTTAACAATGGAAACACATAATTTCACGGTCCACGGTTCACGAAAATTCAATGTTGAAAAATGCTTGACAATTGACATTTGACTTATGTCCTTCAAGTTTCAACATTTTGACACAAGACATTTGAGTTTGACTAGTCGAAAACCGTTTAAGAACTGGTTACTGGCTAGGCTATAATAACATATAATGAATATTTATTAAGTTGCGCAAGCAAAGTTTGAAATTTTTCATTTAGTGAGTACAATTAATTAAAGATATGTAAGTACAATACAATCATGATATTAAAATTTATGTAGGTATACATGAATCCTTTATACTATCTCTATTTAGAATTATTAGTCTATGGTTTATATCATTAATTTAATGCGATAAGTCCCATTCGTTACAAGGTCTGAAATCCAGATCTCAGCCTTACTGGAGCGACTTTCTCCCCAAGAGCCACTATCGGGCGTGCATTTCTGCCTGTTTTCCAATTGCAGAGTATAATGGTGCACTTTGCTAGTCACGCCAAAGCAGTACTTTTCAAAGTACTCGATTGTGCGAGTGTTGCTGTAGTTGAAAAAATCGAAGTTGAGTATTATGCCGCATGATGCGCTTTAGTGCTGTAATTGGAAAACAGGCTCAATATACTTTGTGCGAGTGAACCTTAAGCTCGCCTCACCTCTCTCGGTGATTTAATCACAGTTCGAAACAAAAAGAAAGAAAACTCAAATCATCATAAAGCAAAAAACTTATAAATGTCTCAATTATATATTCTGCAAAGCTTAATTTTAATTTTTATATTACGTAAAGGTCATATATACGTATGACCTTTAACATATACATATTTATATATTACGTTATTTTACGTTGTTAATAAGTTGACGTGCTGTAAATTATTATTACCTAATGAAGTAAAAATTCGCGCGTTAATCACATTTTTATATTAACGTGAGTACACATAATTATTTTTTTATTTCGTTGTTGCGGCTATAGAATATTACCGCGACCATCCCTGATCAATTTTGATCGCCGCATGTTCAATTAGAGTAAACCGATGAATCCTGCAGCTGTGATAAACTGTAGGGTTTGCTTAGGGGTATACTGCCCGGTGTACGGTACATACTTGCCCGGTGCAAGGGACGGAGGGGTATTAATAAGTACTTTGAGAGAGGCCATGGTAGAGCGTACAAATGCGACCTTAAGTCTTGTCTCACAATGGGTTGATGACAATCTGGTCGATTTTAACGCCGCCAAAACGCAAGCCTGTCTATTTTCCGCAAAAAGGAGTCCGTTCAGCTTGACTCCTACTTTTCGTGGTACACCTGTAGAGATTTCCGACAGTCTAGAGCTTCTCGGCATAAGGTTAAGTGCAAATCTTAACTTTGGCGACAACATCGAGTCGAAGGCACAGACTGCGGCCAAGAAACTGGGCATCCTTAACAAGGTTAAGCGATACTTCACGCCTGGACAGCTTCTCACATTATATAAAGCTCAAGTCCGATCATGCATGGAGTATTGCAGTCACCTTTGGGATGGATCTGCAAAATACCAACTAGCCGCTCTTGACTCGGTGGAACGCAAAGCTAAAAAGCTAATCGGCGACGAAAAGCTTGTGAAAACTAAGCTTCACAGCTTAGCACACCGTCGTCAAGTTGCTTGTCTGTCGGTTTTCTACAGAATGTACTTTGGGGAGTGTGCCCACGAGCTCCACAGTCTCATACCGCCATCGCCATTCTTCTATCGAAACAGCAGACGTACTGCAGGATACCATCCTTTCTTGGTTGACATTCCGACCACTCGCACTAAGCGCTATTCGTCATCTTTTATAATGCGCACAGCCAAGATGTGGAATGCGCTGCCTGCGTCTGTTTTTCCGAGTGCGTATAACCTGAACCTATTTAAGGTGCGTGTTAACAGGCTTCTCCTGGGCAAACTCGCTAGATCGTAGACCTTATCTGTGCCTTCGAGCTAAGATAAAGGTCAAAAAATAAAAACTTTTTAACAAAAAAATAAAAACCGACTTCAAACAAAAGCACTAAAAAGTAAAAAATAACTGATTGGTAGTTTTCATTTACTATACATACCTAATCAAATATTTTCGAAGTCGGTGTGCTTTGCTTTGTATGGGCTGGCACCGATTTCGAAAATATTTGATTAGGTATGTATTTAATAGGTAGGCTTTAATTACTTAGCCAAAGCACACCGACTTCGAAAATATTTGATTAGGTATGTATAGTAAATGAAAACTACCAATCAGTTATTTTTTACTTTTTAGTGCTTTTGTTTGAAGTCGGTTTTTATTTTTTTGTTAAAAAGTTTTTATTTTTCCCTTTTTAGTGTAGACAGTAGTAGAAAAGTAAAGATTCTAACGTGTTAGGCTTGTCATCAATCAAACAAAATAAGCCCAAACTCAAAGTATCTACTATTAGCCGTTGAAGAGTTCCACCTATCCACCTTCTGGCCTTGCCATCAGATCAGGTCAACAACACGGAACCACTGTACTATCAACGGAAATAGAAATACTTGCAAAGTTTCAAGTCAATATGACAATTATAAGTAGGTTAAATTCATCATTAGTTGTTTTTCCACCCTTAGGGGTGGTATTTTTTTTTGAAATTTAAATGGGACCAATCTGGAAGTATACCCTTTCAAACAAAACAAAAATTGTCCAAATCGGTTAATAAATGACGGAGTTCTGAGGTAACAAACATAAAAAAAAAAAAAACATACAGTCGAATTGAGAACCTCCTCCTTTTTGAAGTCGGTTGAAAAGAGAGCCCATTTGTAATAATAAAAAAAAAATACTCCATAATTTCATCTAGGCCTAGAAATTGTTGCAAGCAATACCAGCTCTCGGCACGTTGTTGTCAGTGGCACATACATGACCTTAAATTAAGTACACATAACTGACATTTGTTATTTCTTAGTTTTATATTCACTTTTAACTTGTTATCTTTTTCGCTTCATATCTTCTACATTCACTCGCACCCTATGTAGGGACGGCCAGCCTCCCATTGCTCGCTGAGCGAACTTAATCTGCAGACTTTTGAACAAGCTTGTACACTGGATCAAGTCCTTGTAGGTACCGAACAATATGTAAGATAAGCTGTTCTATAAGAGAGCTTTTGTGTAATGAAAATACTATAAAATTATCTCGAAATAATTAATATTTCTTTTGTACATTGAAGGAGATTAAGAAAATTCTGTCGTTAGTGGTAAATTGAAAGGAAAGTACTGACTCGTTATAATTGCGGATGAATAATACATATTATAGTCTCTTTCTTAAATGACTATAATATGCATACAATTAGAAATTATTGTACATACTTGCAATTTGAATATTAGTCTGCAAGCGTTCTTACCACAGATTAAGAAGACTAAGGTTCTTACTACGATTAACTTATCATTGACTGCAGTATAAACATAATCTTTTACACAATTATTATGTATAGTTTTTTATTTTATAATTAACTGTGATTGTGATTTCGATTGTGATTCGATTGTGTGAATTCGACACAAACACTTGTTCAACTCGCTTGTCAAGTGCAGAGCAACAGTGTTCCGCTATTGTCTGCGGATACAAATTTAAATTAAAAAACTTTCCAACACCGACGACCGCAAGGAAACTATATTTTGAATTCGCTCTATGAATATCTTTATATTCGGATACGAGAAAAGTAAATACAAACTTTGTTTGAAAACGTTTTGTTGCGATTTAAATGTCTTGAATTGAGACCCGGCTTTAACTAATCTCATAACATTTGAAAAATAACAAGGGAATTTTTATTTTTGAGTTCGGATGCTTCAGGCAAAATAAAGTTTTCAAGCTAGTTAAGTCGACATAATCAGTATGTATACCACACTAATAAATTGAAGATAATTTCACGTTATATATATTAATAATAAGCTAACTCTAGTTTCTTCAATTAAATTATTATTTATGATTAAAATTCATAATGCATTTATTACCGCATCTTATAAATTGCGTAAGCAAAATCAACAATTTTGTCTGTCAAGCATTCCAACGATCGTAGATAAACAGCCAATTCCATTACAATAATCAATCATTTAAGGAACGAGAAAGCGTGCAAGCAAACATTCCAATACGATTCGTACCGCTTATTCCTTCTCCGAACATGCTGATTTCACACATTCAATTGAATTCAATCGCTCTTGCGTTTACAATTTGAATAAATTTCATATTTTTCACTGGCATACAAAGATAATACAGTTATTTATTAAAAAAGCAATCACAGTATTCGCGTTCCTTATTATTTATTTATTCTGTTTGTGCCAAATTCAAGCGACAATTTGGCGCGAATTTATGTAATTTATTTTCCATCGAAAAGTCACTGTTTGTTGTACAGACATACGTTATTTATTTTAAAATTTTGAGTTACGTTTAACAGACGACTAAATTATGGAACAATATAATACTATCGATCGCTAGTTACATGAGGTTTTGTTGTAATATTTATAAGTTTATTATTTCAATTAGGATTATATGGATTATATATATATATATATATATATATATATATATATATATATATATATATATATATATATATATATATTATTAATTTATTTATACTTCTACATCCTTTAATAATTAGTGCTATTCGATCCTTCGAGCCGGATGTCGGAACCAATATCTTATATCACATCCGCTACTAAAAATACTTGTATTAAGAATACTGCGTAATATATAGAAATAATTAATAAAGGATGTGATGGAATACCTAATTAGATTGCTACAACTTACAAAAACACATAAATACATACTAATATTTTTAATTATTATGAATATGAATGTAAATCTGTCTGTTTACCTTTTACGCTTAAACCGC